ATTTATCATATGTTCCATGCTCAAAGACTGAAAGAGCTAATACCACAGGCCATTATCCTGGGTCTGTCCACAGGAACACTTTCTTCAGGTTGGTAACGTCAATGGAATAGAGGTTCTTATAACACAACACAACATATGTACCATATGTAGCTTAGATGGCTGTGTAACTTAAGGGTTCTGTTTCTGTTTAAGGGTAAATGATGGTGACAGAAATCTTTCTTCATGTTTCCTGTGATTTTCCAGTCACACACATACACACACACACCCTACCTCTCTCTCTTTCTTACAAACACTCATCATACATGCTTTGCTTGTGTGTATTATGTACATCAATCTTTCTGTATGAAAAAAGGACAAAATATCTGACGATCCAATTTACAGATAAAAATTCAAGATTATTTACTTCACAGATGTGAAAAATTAAATCTCACTTGCATGAAACATAAGTGAGCATTTAATGGCAATGTGCAGTGTCAATCTTTTGCTTTGCATTAGCTTTTCAATATAATGCTGAAATATGAAAGACTACCAGGTTTGTTAATGTACATGACCTTCACTCACTCAAATGTCCAGGGGTCTAATTTGTTAAACATTTGCCTGACTAATTATCTGTAAAGCAAACTGGATGATGTTTGGAATAGTATTCATATTGGCCTATCAACTCAGTTAAAAAAAAGGTCAGGAAGACCATAAATGATGGACCCTTTATGTATCAATGTGACTCCACACTCGCTTTGTGTTTACTTTAAAAAATGTGACATGTTATCACAGAATGGTTGTGATTGTTACATAAGACACTTATCTATAAGTTGATTGACAAGTTTCAGCAGAAACATATACCGGACATAAAATAAAAGTCAAAGAAGAAGCTAGTAATATGAAATGCTTTATACTTATTTATTATCACATTATTAATAAAATAACTGTACAGTTTTATCTGAAAACTGATTTCAGATATGTGGGGACTGGAATCTTCTATTCAAAATTTACAGTGGTTAAAAGATTCTATAAACTGTATCAACTCCACCAGAAAGTATACACCAGTCCTTTGTCGATACTTAAACCTAAACTATATAACGATGATCTCAAAAGATGAATGGCCTAGTAAAAATTGGTGAATATTTCAAATACCAACAGATTATGAATAAATTGAGATTTTCACAAATATTTAGCATGACACAATTTTGAACATAAAACAAGTATGATATAAATTGCATCTATCACAGTCAGAAGATTAACACAAATGGATATTTCCTCATTTATGATGCTCTCCAGATCCTTTTCTTGTCTGGAATTCATACAGGATTTTTCTTGAAATATTTTTGTCTGTCTGTGGATTTTGTGCTGACCACTACTGTAAGAGTGATCGCCTTATCATGTCTTTCCTGTCAGGTGTTAAGGATGTAGGAAATTCAATGTCAAATTCTATCACAAGGTCACCTTTCTGTGACTGGTTTTGTGAAATTGGCATGCCTTCTGTGGGGACTCTCTTTGTGTATCCAGGCCTGTATATAAAAAAGGACAAATTAACAACATTCCATCAGAAAGGTCAGTGTTATAAATTCAAATGGACACCTTAGGAAATTAAGACTATCACAAGTATTAATATACCTTACTGTCTAGAAAGTGACATTTTTATACTAGTGAGTTTACATAGTAGATGTAGTTTCTCTGATATATAGTACATAGATACACAGATGCAGGGCAGGTGATACTGATCTATTAGTGTAACCATTATGGTGGGTTTCTGAAATCAGCATCGGGTCTCTTATATCAATATCATGGCATCTATTAAAAAAATCATTCTTCAAAAGGAGATGTTTGTTTACCATTGTTTGGATGTAACAACCTGCCAGACAAAGCAAGTGATCAAATTATCAGAACTGTCAGCTGATGGGCAACTTACTTGATGATGTCATTGATAGGGATGTGTAGTACACGCTCATCTAGAGTAGTTATTTCCACATCACAGCCTGTGAGAGCTTTACCAAGAGGTACCTTGGCTGTGTGGACAAGATTCACACCACTGCGTCTGAACCGAGGATGGGGTTTGTCCTTTACGATGAATACAATGTCAGCTGGAAATTGAAGATTTAATTGACTTTATTTAAAGTTTTCTGCCAACTATCTGTAGAGCGTATAGTTGGCTCTAAATTTTGAATGAACATATTTTACAGGGGAATCAGAATTATATCACTTTATTAATAACAAGATAAACATGTTTATCTTCCGACAACAATCCTTCTGAGTAGCTCCTATCGATCTCATGAAGTAAACAAATGTTTGTTAAATCTTTATCAGTGAGGTTTTAACACATACCAATAATAAAAGTTTTATTTCTATTATGCATTTCAAAATACATGTAACCACCTTACCTGGCACATTGTTTGGTCCCTGGTCACCTTCTTCTGGGAAAGTGATTTTTGTGCCAGGTTTCCACCCCTTTTTCACTGTGATTGTTAGAATTTTGTCCCTAATGCTTGAAGTATGGCCGTCCTCGTTCATAACCTGAAACAATGAGTATTTTGTTGGATAGAGACAAGACAAAGAACACCCTCCTATTCATATACAAAATTGGGTTAGAAGTTTTGCACATGACCATTATGCATGTACAATACAGGATGACAATGTAGCTATGTGATTTCTACTATATGCATGGAAATTCAGTAAGTATGTAGAAAAGCTATACACACCCTTCTTGAAATCTTCATCTTTTTTGTGCAACCATGGAAAACTTCTTCTAGTGACAAAAATAAATCTCTCTCAATTGGAGGATCTTGCTTCTTACGGCCTCTACCCTGCAGACCTCCAAATCCCATGCTAAGATCACCATCCACTCGGTCATAAAATTCTGTGAAATAGAAATATAACAATAAAAATACAGATGTGTCAACAGAAACTTACTTCAATAGCAAATTCAACAAAATATGGGCAAAATATGAACAAAAGATAGCATGGAGACCCTATGTACCTAACAAACCAAGCATTCTTATACCCAATACATGTTTTATCTGGTATGTGTATATCATGGTCTGTTTACTGGTCAAACTTCATTCTTTCTTTCCATTATCATAAAGTCTTGGTCCTAGTTGTATAAATCACATTCTGAGTTCAATCATGACTTCTGCTAGAAGCTATGTTTGATTTTGGAAATATAAAGATTGTTTGCACAATTTCTGGTGAATTACAGAAGCCATCTCCTTTGTATTCACTATGTGTCATCCAGACTAGGTCAACAACATATTAAGAAAGAGTTCAAAGATCTTTCACTGATTTCGTCCCATGAAAATTTACAGTGTTTCCCTGTTCTTGTAAGTTTAACTTGGTTATCATTGATACTACATAATGCCTGAAGGAAAAAGAACAACCTGTTCTAGAACTGAGAGAGATCATATGATGTTTCAAAGATCCATCTAGAACCTCTTAAGTGTGAACCTCAACAGTTAATGAAATTAAATTAAAAAAAAAACAACAAACTTTTCATTTGTTCACATTTGTTACCTTGATATGGATTGTCTCCTCCAAAAAAGTCTCTGAAAACCTTATCAGCATTGCCATGGAATGTGTAACCCTGAGTCCATGCACCAGTTTCCCCACTTCCTTCAGGTACACCATTCTTTAAGCCTTCTTCTCCAAACTGATCATACACAGCACGCTTAGGAGCTAAAGAAAAAATACAATTTTTTCATGTGAAAATATTGTATTTGCAAGGTTTATCTCCCTGTGAAAAGCTAGGGACAGTATTTCGATTTATGATAATGTTTATATGATTTATTCATGACTGCTGTAGTGTGTGGTATATTGAGTTTTCAGCATGACAAGGTAATAAACTTTAGACTTACGATCACATAAAACATCATATGCCTCTGCAACTTGCTTGAATTTATCAAATGCTGCTTGATCTCCGGGCTGTTTATGTGGATGGTAACGTAGTGACAATTTTCTGTATCTGGAAATAACAGGTTTGAAATTTAGTTGATTATGGAACTGCTCATTAAAGTATCAAGTGTATATCTTGCACAGTCTATATATGATAACATTAGCGATAAATAATAGATATCTTTTGGTAGCCTATTGATTGCTAATTTTATTATATAAGACTATACATATCTATAAGCAACTAGTAATTCTGTACAATAGTTTAAAACTGTAGGGAAACAAAGTAAAATGACATTCCACAGTCAAGACATCTGAGTGCTCTGGATACAATATTATTCCTTTTCCGTATCTACTGTTCTGTATCGTTGCTGTGATATGGCATAGGTCTGTCTATTCACATTCCTTTACACCGACATCTACAAATGTCAGCACCAGATACAATCAATGTATGATGATGTGATATCTTATTTACTGATATCGATTGAAATACAGTAGACATATTTGTTCCCTAATTTGAGTGATACACTGTAAGTAGGAGCTATTTACTGCGAGAGTACAGTACACTTCGCATGGCGACAGAAACTTGTTTACATGTTTTCAAGTACAATTATGATTAAATTGTACCAGTCCTTTCAAACTTACTGCTTCTTAATGTCAGCATCGGTAGCACTCCTTGACAGATTGAGGATGTTGTAATAATCTATTCCCATTTTGACGTTTCAGTGGCTGAAATTCGTGAAACGTTACTTGAAAATGGCGTGTATCGCCTGGCAACGGTAAACACTGAGCTATGCCTTATGTACTAGTGGCAGTTTCGTATGTAATTGGTTTCGTATATTTGAATACATTGAAGCGTAACTCATTTATCTGTGTATTTCATTGTCTACATCAGTTGGATTTAAATATTATCAAAACCTCATTATTTATGTAACCATTATATTAGTTCTTTTAATATATACGAAAGCAATGCTGAGCAAACAAAGACATATGCATCTCCGAGCAACAATATCAAACAATATGGCCGCGTCGTAATGAATACACCGAGCGGTAGGAAAGATTGATGGAAAGTGCTGACTTTTGGATTGCTTGACGTACATTATTATCGTCATCTATTCGAAAGAATGGAAGGGGATAAATGTGGCGTTCGTATAACGCCTCCGGTGCTAGAATTCTATGATGCCGAAGTGGACACTGTGCATCAACTAAATGTCACTGTCAAAAACACAAGTAAAACCAGCAAAAGCATTCGTTACTATGGCCCGAAAACTAAGGTAAGTGGTTATATTGAACATATTACAGATAAGAAGTTGTGTTCGTTTTTTGAAGCACATGCATGTGACACATGCATTTTTATGTAGGTATTTTTCAGATTGCTGTACAAAGAGCTTTTTTAACTGTTTAAACTTAAGCATCATCACTGATATTTTGATGTGGATGCAAGAAGCAAATCTGTTTGCACATGCACATTTAGTTTTACTTGTTTGGTCTAATTCATTCACATTTTATTTTTATTCATTTTTAACAGCAAATGTTCCACCAACACACCATTTTATGGCGTTAAAAATCTAATTAGTGTTTTGTAAATGTGTCTTATTGTTACGTTTTAAGGACAATACTGATTCCCTTGATTGAGGATTGAAAAAAACATTAATTCATTTAGCTCTAGATTAGGGTTCCAATGTTTTTGTGATTGGGAAACTATGATTGATTCATACATACTACCAATGTAGTTTGATTTATTTCAAAATTATGCTTGTAGGAGCTATATAGGGTGTATCATTTGATAAAACTGAACCTGTTACATAAATTTCAAATAGTGAATCAGGAAATCATAGTGGTATATGATATTATATTTCTGATTCACTACTAGTATTGATGTATCATGACACTGCCATGATGGGTCTTTTTTTTAATTTTATTTTTCACCCATGTTCATCTGATTGCAGCTTTTGTTCCTTTGTAAAAGGTAGAATTCTATCATTCCTTACCCTAGAAAAGTTTTTTTTGTATACATATCCAGAATTTTCTGCTATTTTAGGAATGCTTTTGGCTATAGACAGCATTAGCTCGAATACCAAGCTAAAGATGTAAAGATATATCAGTTTGTTAAATGGATTGTTGTATTTCTGAAGCTTAAAACATATAATCATATTTTTTCAGTATTTTCAACTGAAAGTAAGGAACCCAAACAAGCCTGTAGCGCCAGGCCTATGTGTTCCTGCTGTTGTAGAATTTGAAATCAAAGAGGAGAAGGAAGTTACAGACAGACTTGTTGTCACAGTAGATGGGGATGTTATTGAAATACCATTGGTGGCGTAAGTATTATCATTGATCATAGTAGACATAGTAGAGCTGACACTTTACTGTAGCAAAAAAAAAACAAAAAAACAAAACCAGAAATATCCCAACAATAAATCTTAACTTCAGTCAGAGACCTGAATTCAATCATATTAATATACTATGACATATGATGCATTACTTCATATATAACGTATATTTACTATCACTCTATCATATGTCACAATTTATTTGCTTTAAAACAATATGTAGTGCTGAGCCCATTTGGGGTTCATGCATATGAATATGTTTATCCCTTGCATGCAAATTGTCTTATTTCATGGACACAAGTTGATGTCTTGTGGTATTACAACATTTTTTGTTGAAAAAAAATATTATTTTCCAGGTATCCACCACAACCTCTGCTTGAAATTGAACAAGTTGTAAACTTTGGAAATCTAGTGGCTAACAGTAAAACTGTTTCACATGAAATATCCTTGGTCAACCATGGCTCAAAGGCTGGTGATTTTAAAATCAAGTACAGCGGGGACAAGCCTATTGCCATCATGCCTAGCAGTGGGTCTGTACCCCCTAAAAGTGTACAGATGATAAAGGTACATGACTGTTCTTTGAACATTTGATGGATTATTCATTCATTCATTCATTCATTCATTCATTCATTCATTTTTGTACATAGTACTAAAGTTATTTTCTCTCTTTTTTCTAGGTTGAATATGTCACTAAACAAGCTGGAGTTTTTGAAGAAGTGGTGAAGTAAGCATTATTGTTTTTTCATCTTTCATGATAGAACGTGAACATTTCATGAAGTTTGTATTGGCTCATACAGATTATATAGATTTTGTATGCTTCAAAACATTTTGTAATTTGTACTTTGGAATCTTGTTAATAGTCAGCTCTCTTTTCTAGAACTATTCATTGTATATTTCAAACATCTTTTTTTTCACTATAGGGTAAAACTTGAAGGGAAGGAAACTAAAAACCTTGTGATAAAGGGAACATTAGTAGACAGAACACTTGAGGTGCTGGCCATGAATACTCACCAGCCAGTAGAATGTGTGCGCTTTGGAAGCACTTATTATGGCTCTGACAAAACAGAATGTGCTTTACTGTTCAACAATGGACCAGAACCTGTCAACTTTGTGGCTGTTCTGGATGAAGATGCAGTTGCACAAGAAATGGTAAATTTTTTTCCTTCAAAATTTGAAACAAAATCCCTCAGATATCAATATATAAAGGAAAGATAAAGAATAAGACAAGAGGCTTATTTCTTTGTGATGTTTAGGTGTTGTTTTGAAAATATTTTGTATTTACTTGCTTGAATAAACAACATCATTGAACTGAGCAATAGAGAAGTGTACGGCTATGTATTTTGTGAATCCTTGTTTTTTGACAGAAGAGTTGATACCTCTGAAGATATAGAACATTAACAACATACTTCTTTATAAATTTTATTCTAGCTAAAAATCACTCTATTTGAAGTATATGTAAATTACGAAGATGGCATCTGATATTTATTAGTAACTTCTATCTGCTAAATAAACATTTGTTTTTTTCCCAGGGTGTGGACTTGTCCAAGAGTACAGTGGATGCATTGGCTGACCAGGATAGGGATGGCATTGAGAAACCCCAGGGTACAACAAATGTGCTGACCTCTCTCATTACAGCTATCCCTAACCAGGGCACACTGAAGCCCTATGAGAAGATACCAGTATTTTTCAGGTTCAGTCCTAGGTATGTATTTCTGAAACATACACTATTAAAATTGGTCAGAGGGAACAGAGTAGTCAGAGTGCCACAACTATTCTTAATCTGAAAGATATCAGAAGTACAAATCCATGAGATGTGCCATAACCTCACTTCTGTTTTGTGTTCTGTCAGTGTAATAAACACTGTTTCCTGATGATTGCCAGTTCTAGTTCAGCTTCTTGGGTGAAGACCTGTTCATGTGAGCTCTGGCTTTTAACATATAAGTAAAATGTAATCATACCACCTGTTTGTGGATATAAAGTTCCAGTATTGATCAAGTACAATAAATACTCTCCTTTCCTTTGTGAACAAATATTCTGTCTGAACTAGTTTGGATACCAACTATGGTGTAGTTGATTATTGCTGATTAATCCCACTTTATATCAGATGGAATGCCTCAAAGGAGGGATGGAAGGGACAGAAGAAGCCTCCCCCCAGGAAGGACTTTGCCCTGTTTATGAGGATTCAGATTGTAGGATCAAGCACAGGATTTAGTTCCAAATCACCCACTAAATATGCTGATGGTTAGTACTGTTCTATATCAGTGTTAATTGATAGATGGCATAAGTCATATCACAGAACAGGTTGTATCTTGTCTTACATTCTGGTTTGGAAAAGAAAATTGAAAAGAATATTGAAGAAAAAGATAAATTATAAACATCTTAATCATAACTAAAAATGAACAATATATAATAATGGAAAAAATAAGAAAGCTCTATATTATACACTGGTCTTTATAGACAATGTTAATTTCATACACAGGTCTGTATGGACAGGTTCTGTTTTGTACACAGATCTGTATAGTCAGGTTCTGTAATGTAAAGGTCTTTGTGTAGTGTGTAGATATGTTCTATAGCATATAGGGTTATACTTAAATAATTCTACCTTGTGGTGATATCTTTATACAAGGTTGTATTTAAATAATTCTACCTTGTGGTGATATCTTTATACAGGGTTGTATTTAAATAATTCTACCTTGTGGTGATATCTTTATACAGGGTTGTATTTAAATAATTCTACCTTGTGGTGATATCTTTATACAGGGTTGTATTTAAATAATTCTACCTTGTGGTGATATCTTTATACAGGGTTGTATTTAAATAATTCTACCTTGTGGTGATATCTTTATACAGGGTTGTATTTAAATAATTCTACCTTGTGGTGATATCTTTATACAAGGTTGTATTTAAATAATTCTACCTTGTGGTGATATCTTTATACAGGGTTGTATTTAAATAATTCTACCTTGTGGTGATATCTTTATACAGGGTTGTATTTAAATAATTCTACCTTATGGTGATATCTTTATACAAGGTTGTATTTAAATAATTCTACCTTGTGGTGATATCTTTATACAGGGTTGTATTTAAATAATTCTACCTTATGGTGATATCTTTATACAAGGTTGTATTTAAATAATTCTACCTTGTGGTGATATCTTTATACAGGGTTGTATTTAAATAATTCTACCTTGTGGTGATATCTTTATACAGGGTTGTATTTAAATAATTCTACCTTGTGGTGATATCTTTATACAAGGTTGTATTTAAATAATTCTACCTTGTGGTGATATCTTTATACAGGTTCATTTGTGGAGGTTGCTTTGACTGGTACAGCATTACCAGTACTGTTGTCAGTGTTGCCCTCTCTGAAGTACGACTTTGGGGAGTGTCCTATAGGGGAACATGCTGATGTCCTGTGTACCATTAAAAATGAGTCGTCTGATCTAGCCACTACCTTCCAGTTCAGGAGAGTGGCTCACTTTTCTACACATCCACCTAGTGGAAAAATCCCAGCAAATCAATCTCAGGATGTTATATTCTCCTTTTCTCCAAAACAAATTGGTAAGTGTACTCACAGTTTTTTTTTTCTTTACTTATCTTACTACAATTAAGCCTCCTAAGCAGTATCTTTAAAGATGAAACAGTTTCCAAAATCTTTGAAATCTGCCAGCAAAGGTTACTGTTAAATAGAACTCCAGGACTTCTTTCATATGTTGTACAAAAAAACCCATGTTTTTAATAATTTAAATGATCAGAGGTAAATACAGATGGATGTGGTTGTCATTGACTGTAGCAGTCACATATTTATAAATACCTGGGATTTTTTTATGTACACATATATTACTGAGATATATCCCTAGCTGACCATGCTTTAATCAAACGTTGTGACTTATCATTATTACCAGGTGGCTTCAAGACAACCCAGATGCTGGATGTGATTGGTCAGGTGGCAGACAACCAGAACCCAACAGTTGTCAACTTACAGGTCATCAGCTCCTTCCCTCTGACCTTCCTCGGCTCCAGTGACCCTATCTTCAAAAAGAAGCAACCCAAGTATAACCCAGGTAGATGACAGTCCTACATCTCTAATGTTTCTGGTGCAGCTTTGTAGCCAGGATATTTATTTTCTGGTTAAATCTACTTGTCTCAAAGTTAATAATGTGCCCTGTCATGTGATGCATGTGATTGCTATGTGTTTTAATGTGTAAATAGTGATTACTTTTTAAATCTTTGTCAGTTTTAATGATGAGAACTTTTGTCTGATGACCTATTTCAGCATTTAAGAAACACTTTGTTTTGTTAGGTATAACCCCCTACATTAGCAATGAGGTGGGTATGTTTGTGGACACCACATTCTCACAGCTAGACGAAAACCCCAGAAATGCTGTAGCGGGAGGTTTAAAGCCAAGTCTCCATTCTCAAAAAAATGTTGACCCTACAGACGATAATGCCAGAGTGTCTTTCCCTAACGACAGAGCGACCAGCATTCGCCCAAGCGAGCGGGGCGAGACCTATAAGTGAGTTCATTGTGTTACTTTGTTTATGAGCTCCATTAGAAATGATGCAAAAGTTTACAGTAGAACTTAATCAGAATGTTGGTAGTCACTTTTAGTTAACTGCTGGTCTGAATTAATACCCTGGAAATGATTATAAATGGTAGTGGAAATGCATGTGCACTGTTTGTGTGTTACACAGCCTAGTAATTGAAATTGTCCTTACTGTGACAAATGATTCTGACGATGTTAGTACTAGCCAGGTAGTGTGTGGTGAAGCTTTCCTAATCATAATCTCGCTTCCTTACAGAACTATCTTTACCAAGACAAAACGTCATAACTATGTTGACCCTGACTACGCCCTTAATCTAAATGAGGAAGCCAGTAAAGTGAGCCATCGTAACAGCTATGTTGGTATGCTTCGTCAAATGAGGCAAAACCGCCTTAATCAGATTAAATCAAGGTAATAATTACCAGGATTGGACAAAAAGAGATATCGGAACTGCATATTGGTCTTTCTGATGCATAAATGATCAAAATTTAATTTCAATTTTCATGGATTTTAAAATTAAGATTGCAGTCTTTTTCACACATGTAAATTTATTGAAACCTTTAATTTTTGAATAATGAAGTATGACTTTGTATAACCATTCACTATTTCTCAATACAACTCTTAGCACTTTGAAATACATCTTTGAGTTACAGAATTGTTTGACATTTAGATATACAGCATATTTTTCTGTTTAAACAACTTCAATATAAACAATTTTTGCAGAGAATTCAAGGATACCAACAATAAACTGGACATAGGGATAAAGTCTGCGGCTGGTTTGAAGCCAAAACGTCTCACACAGATGGAGATCAAACCAGATCCTAGGAGTGAGTAGTTCTCTGTCAATCTCCTAAATCTTACATGCTCAACTCTGGCTCCATTCTTCTGTCAGTAACACATTTCTCTCCTTAAAACATGTATATTTAATTGCCACTCATCACATTTAGAACTGCTGTCTGGTTATAGCCGGGTTAAGAACTAGAACTGTTGTCAGGTTATAGCCGGGTTAGGAACTTGAACTGCTGACAAGTTATAGCCGGGTTAGGAAGTAGAACTGTTGTCAGGTTATAGCCGGGTTGAGAACTAGAACTGTTATCAGGTTATAGCCGGGTTAAGAACTAGAACTGTTGTCAGGTTATAGCCGGGTTAGGAACTTGAACTGCTGACAAGTTATAGCCGGGTTAGGAAGTAGAACTGTTGTCAGGTTATAGCCGGGTTGAGAACTAGAACTGTTATCAGGTTATAGCCGGGTTAAGAACTAGAACTGTTGTCAGGTTATAGCCGGGTTAGGAACTTGAACTGCTGACAAGTTATAGCCGGGTTAGGAAGTAGAACTGCTGTCAGGTTATAACAGGGTTAAGAACTAGAACTGTTGTCAGGTTATAGCCGGGTTAGGAACTAGAACTGTTGTCAGGTTATAGCCGGGTTAGGAACTAGAACTGTTGTCAGGTTATAGCCGGGTTAGGAACTAGAACTGTTGTCAGGTTATAGCCGGGTTAGGAACTAGAACTGTTGTCAGGTTATAGCCGGGTTAGGAACTTGAACTGCTGACAAGTTATAGCCGGGTTAGGAACTAGAACTGTTGTCAGGTTATAGCCGGGTTAGGAACTTGAACTGCTGACAAGTTATAGCTGGGTTAGGAAGTAGAACTGCTGTCTGGTTATAGCCGGGTTAAGAACTAGAACTGTTGTCAGGTTATAGCCGGGTTAGGAACTTGAACTGCTGACAAGTTATAGCCGGGTTAGGAAGTAGAACTGTTGTCAGGTTATAGCCGGGTTAGGAAGTAGAACTGCTGACAAGTTATAGCCGGGTTAGGAAGTAGAACTGTTGTCAGGTTATAGCCGGGTTAGGAACTTGAACTGCTGACAAGTTATAGCCTGGTTAAGAACTAGAACTGTTGTCAGGTTATAGCCGGGTTAGGAACTTGAAAGATACTGCATTGAACTGCTGACAGGTTTTAGCCGGGTTAGGAACTTGAAAGATACTGCATAGCTGGTTGTTTTCGGACGGAAGATATTTTTGCAATTTGCAGGTCATTTTCATGATCACAAAACTTTGATCTGTGAAATATTAAGACATGCGAAAATATTTGTCCACGATATAAAACATTGAAAACATCATGAAATTGTTACTTACTGTAGTGTTCAAGTTCCAGGTCGTTCACCACCTCTCGTTCTTGGATTAACAATTTAAAACATGTGAAACAGAGAACCTTGTATATGATACATACATATGGTTTATCATGTGTATAAACTGAATACTTTCGTCAGTAAGAATAAATTGTTGGTAAATCTTTTTGAATAACGCTTCTATTTTGACAACTTTATATCTGGGAAAGGGAAATCCCCTTAAACTACTCGGTACACAGAACGTACTATAGTGTATAGAGGAGATCAGAATGAATAATTTCTGCTGGTGATTTCTGCTAGTAAGTTTGAAACCTGAGATCAGTTTGCAAGTGGATACAGGTTAATCAATAAAATGAGTACAGTCCAGTGTACAGTGTCATTTGTCAAATCAAGTTCAGTATGTGACCTGACTTGCTGAGATACAGTCTGTATCTGCATCAGTTGCTCTATCAGAATACTTAAGTATATGAAAAAAGTTGACCCTATCCCAAAAAGGGAGAGCTATCTTGAATTGGAAGATTTATTAAGCAAAAATTTGATTTCCAGTTAATGCCACATCACAAAATTTTAATGCATGAAAATTAAATTTTTTCGATTGATGAGAAAATTGCGAAATATTTTGCCCGTGAAAATGAACAGCTTTACCTTCATCAGGCAGAAAAAACGTGTGCAGATGCTGCACTTAAGCATCCATGTCTGATAATGGACAAGTCAAATACAAGTATCAGAGATTCAGCCCCCAGTATCTCATCGAAAATTGGTCTTCAGTACTGATTCTCATCAAAATGGTCCCCAGTACTGATTCTCATCAAAATAGTCCGCAATACTGATTTTCATCTAAACAAGGTCCCCAGTTCTGATTCTCATCAAAACAAGGTCCCCAGTACTGATTATCATCAAAACAAGGTCCCCAGTACTGATTCTCATCAAAATAGTCCCCAGTACTGATTCTCATCAAAATAGTCCCCAGTACTGGTTCTCATCAAAACAAGGTCCCCAGTACTGGTTATCATCAAAACAAGGTCCCCAGTACTGATTATCATCAAAACAAGGTCCCCAGTACTGATTCTCATCAAAATAGTCCCCAGTACTGATTCTCATCAAAACAAGGTCCCCAGTACTCATTCTCATCAAAACAAGGTCCCCAGTACTGATTCTCATCAAAACAATGTCCCCAGTACTGATTCTCATCAAAATAGTCCCCAGTACTGATTCTCATCAAAACAAGGTCCCCAGTACTGATTCTCATCAAAACAATGTCCCCAGTACTGATTCTCATCAAAATAGTCCCCAGTACTGATTCTCATCAAAACAATGTCCCCAGTACTTATTCTCATCAAAATAGTCCCCAGTACTGATTATCATCAAAACAAGGTCCCCAGTACTGATTCTCATCAAAATAGTCCCCAGTACTGATTCTCATCAAAATAGTCCCCAGTACTGGTTCTCATCAAAACAAGGTCCCCAGTACTGGTTATCATCAAAACAAGGTCCCCAGTACTGATTATCATCAAAACAAGGTCCCCAGTACTGATTCTCATCAAAATAGTCCCCAGTACTGATTCTCATCAAAACAAGGTCCCCAGTACTCATTCTCATCAAAACAAGGTCCCCAGTACTGATTCTCATCAAAACAATGTCCCCAGTACTGATTCTCATCAAAATAGTCCCCAGTACTGGTTATCATCAAAACAAGGTCCCCAGTACTGATTATCATCAAAACAAGGTCCCCAGTACTGATTCTCATCAAAATAGTCCCCAGTACTGATTCTCATCAAAACAAGGTCCCCAGTACTCATTCTCATCAAAACAAGGTCCCCAGTACTGATTCTCATCAAAATAGTCCCCAGTACTGATTCTCATCAAAATAGTCCCCAGTACTGATTCTCATCAAAACAATGTCCCCAGTACTGATTATCATCAAAACAAGGTCCCCAGTACTGATTCTCATCAAAATAGTCCCCAGTACTGATTCTCATCAAAATAGTCCCCAGTACTGATTCTCATCAAAATAGTCCCCAGTACTGATTCTCATCAAAATAGTCCCCAGTACTGGTTCTCATCAAAACAAGGTCCCCAGTACTGGTTCTCATCAAAACAAGGTCCCCAGTACTGAGTCTCATCAAAATAGTCCCCAGTACTGGTTCTCATCAAAACAAGGTCCCCAGTACTGAGTCTCATCAAAACAAGGTCCCCAGTACTGAGTCTCATCATGTGTTATATATAAGTATATTGATTTGGCATTGAAATATGCAAATTTAAAGATCTGGATTGCCAAGCTTATTCATGCAGCTACAAAAACCTACCATTTGTCTTTTAATTTAGGTCCCACTCCACCAAATGCAGACTTTAAACTCTTGAGTACAAAGGAACTTTCTGCAGCAGAAGCTGAAACTCTTACTAAAGAGGTAAGACAGTCTTATAAACCCAAATCAAGGGTTCCCAGGTAACAATACCTTTTACTTACAGGTAATGTGTTTAATGGTTATCTTCATTATCATCATTAAGATATTAATTGTAATATATATTTGTATGTATATTAAGTAGATTTCGTTCTTGTAGTAACGTTGCATATTGTCTATCTAAAATTGAACTTTTTATGATATTACCTTTAGGCTTGTGAGGGTCTGAATGCTGTGCCAACAACTAAAGTGGAGAAGCTGGACTGTTCCAAGGTCTTGTCACCTCAGATGTTACACCAGATTATTATAGGTTAGTAAATTTACCTTTAGTGTTAATCCCTGAGTAATATCTTAGGTTAGTAAATTTAACTATAGTGTTAATCCCTAAGTAATATCTTAGGTTAGTAAATTTAACTATAGTGTTAATTCCTAAGTAATATCTAGGTTAGCAAATTTTACTATAGTGTTAATCCCTGAGTAATATCTAGGTTAGTAAATTTAACTATAGTGTTAATCCCTGAGTAATATCTTAGGTTAGTAAATTTAACTATAGTGTTAATTCCTAAGTAATATCTAGGTTAGTAAATTTTACTATAGTGTTAATCCCTGAGTAATATCTTAGGTTAGTAAATTTAGCTATAGTGTTAATTCCTAAGTAATATCTAGGTTAGTAAATTTTACTATAGTGTTAATCCCTGAGTAATATCTAGGTTAGTAAATTTACCTTTAGTGTTAATCCCTGAGTAATATCTAGGTTAGTAAATTTTACTATAGTGTTAATCATTGAGTAATATCTAGGTTAGTAAATTTAACTATAGTGTTAATTCCTAAGTAATATCTAGGTTAGTAAATTTTACTATAGTGTTAATCCCTGAGTAATATCTTAGGTTAGTAAATTTACCTTTAGTGTTAATCCCTGAGTAATATCTAGGTTAGTAAATTTAACTATAGTGTTAATTCCTAAGTAATATCTAGGTTAGTAAATTTAACTATAGTGTTAATTCCTAAGTAATATCTAGGTTAGTAAATTTAATATAGTGTTAATCCCTGAGTAATATCTAGGTTAGTAAATTTTACTATAGTGTTAATCATTGAGTAATATCTAGGTTAGTAAATTTAACTATAGTGTTAATCCCTGAGTAATATCTAGGTTAGTAAATTTAACTATAGTGTTAATCACAGATTAGCATACGTTAGAATTGTTACTTAGAAGGTAAATTATAGATTAACAAAATAGATTAATAAAGTTACCAATAGTTTAAACCACAGATAAACATACAAGGTTGTTTAATTTTCCTACAGTGTGAATCACTGACTAGCAGAAAACGTTGTAAAGTTTCCTATGTTTTAAAACAGAAGGTAGGTTAATCAAAATTACCAAGAAGGAAGTCAACTACAGGAAGTTATTTGTAATTCCAGCCACAGCTTAACATTGGTAAGCACCTTGTGAAATGAACTGTAAAAAATATTGTACTTTAAATAATTTCAGATTTAAAGTTACTTTCATGGGATCAATTAGAAATGCTTCCTCCTTCTAACCAATCAATACTAATACAATGACAAATGATTAATCTAGATCTTTCTCACTATGTTGGTTCATTTGTGTTAAAGGTCCTCCAACCTTGGACTTTGGTCAGGTGTGTCTGCGGTCAGTTTGTACCAAAAACCTGTCCATCATCAACAATTTAGACACACATATACATATTGTGGCAGAGGTAGGTGGTTCTCTGAGTTACATTATTGATGAAAATCATTCTCTTTTGACTGATATATTTCCAAGCTACTTTGAACAAAAAATGTGTTTTACTATTTTCTTTGTATACATAATTTGTTTTTGAATGCATTAAGTGTTTAACTAACATGTCCTTTCTCAGATTGACTGTCGCGAGCTTAGGCAGAGCAGTCCTTTGTCCCAAGTTGTTCCTCCAAAATCCAAGGCACATCTCCCCATTGTGTTTGAATCCAACTCTAAAGGAAAGTTTCAGAGGTAAGATCTTATTTGACCCCAGGGGAACATATTTGAGCAGGGATATAAAAATCTCTGAATCTCTCTCTTGGTCTTCCCCTAGACTGTCAGCTCAGCCTAATTGACGGGTTGGATATTTTGTAACTTGACACAGTGGAAGACTAGTATATGCTGATGTGTATTAAGAAAGGTATTTCCAATTGAAATGTTAGGGTTTCTTGAAATTAGCTGGTATATGGCCTTTGAAATTTTAATTTTTTAATTATTCAAGTCCTTGTTACTACAAGCTGACTGAGGGAGGTTTGATGGGAAAGGATGGGAGGTTGCCTTTATTGTATATTGGTCAGTAATATTTAAGAGGAATATGAATAAACAAAATCATGAATTTTGAACAATTTCCGAATGGATTTACCTGATCACACTGGAATGTACATTTAGAGTAAAAGTGTAGAAGAATGATATCTATGACATTAAATCCTGTAATATGAGGAGTGAATTCTGATATCAACTAGTTTCTAAATCTATTCTAGACTCATTACATCTCTCTTCTTTGTAGTGTAGATATTTTATAAGCAGTTATGAATTCCATGATTGTCATCTACAGGTCAGTGTCCTATACTGTAAATGGACATTACAAGCACCATGTCACCGTGGTGGCAGAAGTAGTTCATGTAGCCCTGGAACTCTCGACTGACCAACTCATCCTCACACCTGCATTTGGACTCCCAGCTGAAGCAGAGTTCCGTGGAGTGATTACACTGTATAATAATCTCAATTACCCAGCTGAGTTTACATGGGCCCCTAACTTGGGGGACAGAGGGACAGCTTTCTCCATCAGACCAGCTACAGGTATGTATCTGACATGCTAACATCCTTAATGAATCGTTCTCATGGTCAGTAAGGATATAAAAGTCATACTTGTGTAATTCAAGATAACCACCAAGACATCTGATTGGTTGAAAATGTTTGAATTAAAGTTCCTAATTGGTTGGTCAGATTTTATTGGTACATTATCACCATATTGTCTTCATAACTGTCAGCATTCCATAATATACAATAATAGTTGTCATTGGGCACTTCAAACCTGATGGCTGTCCTGAGTCATTTTTATCAGGTTGATACGATTAGACACTGGATAATTAAAAGTATGCTAAATATAACTACTTGCCCTTTTAATGATAATGTGGATATATTGTCTCCTAGGAATCGTGGATGCCCACAAAGATCTTGACTGTGAAGTGGTGTGGCATCCCTCATTCCTCGCCCCCGAAGATGGGTCATTCTCCCTCATGGTTCATGGCGGCCCCACCCTGCAGCTCCAGTGTAAAGTTGAGGTCAGTTGTTCATTAATTCATGAAAAAGAAATGTTTTCAGTCTCACTATAGTTTCCATTTGGCCTACCCAGGTAAAAGGGAGGAGGCAGACTTTAATGACCATCATTCTTTGATAGGAATAAAAAAAACAGTTTCATCAGGTAGTTTGCCAAAGTACTCAGCTGTTTTGGATAACTTGTATAAGAAAAAAAGATGTCTACATTAGATGCTATGTTTTCAGATGGGAACACCAAATGTCCAGTTCATGGAGAGGAGGGTAATGTTTGGACAGACACCGATTAATCTGACCACAATAAGGAGTGCTCTGCTAGCTAACACTGGTCAACACCATGCCTATTTCCAGGTATATCCATGTCACTGTAAAAACTCTATAGATAACTTTTTTATGGTGGAGTTTCAACACTAGATTAGTATATTGTAACAGTATCATTTTTGATCAAGTATTAATTCCAAAATGGTGCTTTGACAATTCCCATAGATTTGCTGGTATGATAGCATACCATGACTTCCTGTTTTGATGTCCATGATCAATAATGTGTATATTTATAACATGAAGATATATGACAATGTCTAGTTTTGAGACTTTTTATATTCAGGTGATTGACTCCAACCCGTTCCCTGGCCTGATGGTGACTCCTTTACATGGAGTGGTGCCTGTTGGAGGCCATGCTGAACTCAAAGTGCAGCTGACTCCTTCAGCCATCCTCAAGTTTGACACAAAAGTTCAGGTGGCCATCAAGGGGGGTAAGGTGCTGGAGTTACGGATGGGTGGCACTGTGGAGCCACCAACTGTGGACATAGACATGGTATGTTACATCACACAAACTAAGGTATAAGCATCATCATTTTTCTATGAGTTATTGAGAAATAAAAATTCTGTCATCATAACCAGGAGACTGTATATGAATTTCATTTAGTTTTTCTTAAGAAATTTGGGATCAAATAGTAACCATTTCTATTCCAGGACTCATTTAACTTTGGCGGTGTGTATTGTGGATCTGGAGCAACCCTCCCATTCAAGCTCACAAACAAGGTAAATAACTGCAATGTGAATTTTACTGCAGGAAGTCAAAACCAACCCCTGTAAACCTTGTCAGAACCATACCTGCAGAACAACAAAACAGATATTTTCAGATTCACATTTCTACTTTAAGTTCCGATCACTAGGTAATGACTTATGGTGTGTATAGATATATAGATTTAAATTGATGTCATGAATAGATAGATGTCATGGCTACATTAAAATTCTGTAATTATACATGCTTCTAAATGTCCATCACAACTTGAAATCTTTAATGACAATGGAATGTCATCTTTAAAGTTTTAACTGTTAAGAACCTTTTATTTTTTTTCAGGCAATTACAAAAGTGAAGTTAGAGCTGGATTTGACAAGATACAAAGACTTTTCTCTCAATTTCTCTGGCTACCAAACTCAAGGTTTGTTTGTTATCTATGTCATACCTATGGCACACAGTTGCCTAGATAGAAATAATTCACCTTAAAAATTACTATTGATTAGCATTGTCAGTTCATTCTGATATTAATTATACTGAATCCTTTGTCCATTGTTTGTTTAAAGTTACACGTCCTCTATGACTAGATGTGTATACCTTGTGTCCTCTATGACTAGATATGTATACCTTGTGTCCTCTATGACTAGATATGTATACCTTGTGTCCTCTATGACTAGATATGTATACCTTGTGTCCTCTATGACTAGATATGTATACCTTGTGCCCTCTATGACTAGATATGTATACCTTGTGTCCTCTATGACTAGATATGTATACCTTGTGTCCTCTCTGTTTAACAGATGATTACAGCTATCAGATGTTGAATCCGGGGATGTTCACTGTGACCATGGCACCAGAGGAAACCATTGAAGGAGAGATAATCTTCACCCCCACTGAGGTAAGAATTCACAATATTTCCAGTTCTTGTGATAAATAAGCCCAGTTTAATCACAGAACTATGCTGTATGTTATAGTCTCTGTTTTCCCTGTATTCTGTATTCTATTGTAATTGTAACAATATAAAGAAAAATTGGTATCACAATCAGTTGTTTATGTTTCCTTATATTATAGAGGTTTAGCACTATTTCTTGGAGCCATGCATGGTCTTTTTCTAGGTTATCACGTGGGACATATCAATTGTATATCCATATCGTGGTGAGAGGAGGAGGGTTGTTAGGTCTGTACATAGTGTAAAGTTGACTATTTATGTTACAGGTGGCAGCTTATGACTTCATCATGCCTGTTATAATAAATCAGATTGGGGCTCCATCTCCAGCCCCAACCCCTTTCCCTCCAACCCCTGCCCCTTCAAACAAGAACAGCATACAGCATATTATTAACCCCCGCCCCCAGCCCCTGTCCATTGCTACGCCAAGGAAACATGTCATTGCTACTGCTCTGCGGCAGCCACTACAGTTATCTTCCAACAAGATTGAGTTTTCATTGCCTTCGACTTTTGAGGATCCTACAGCCTCCACTGGACTGGGAGTATCTAAGGTAATACTAGACCTAAAGACTTGAGGTTGATTGAAAAGTAATCCATGAATCCTTTTAAAAACCAATCCTTTATTTAAAGACTTTTTCTATTTTTCTTACATAAGTATTATTTCGTTCATAAATTATTATTTCGTAGGATGTTAAATAGTAACTGTGAAATTTCTAATTGATTTACAATGGTTTGGTTGTTTAATTTTCAGCACCCTATTCAACAGGTAAAAATATCTCCCTTGTGATCACTTTTATATAGTCCTGCATCATACCTGTATTGTTTCTGTGTTAACACCTTCTCTGTTGTATTATCCTCTACACACCAGTTCTCACATCAGCTCTACTTTGGCTAGATATATATAACATTTAATGGAGACAAAGAACAAACAGTGTTCCTGATACAATTCTATTATACCACAAGTACTATACTATGTACTGTTTTTGTACTGTCTATGTAACCCTTAGCCAATAATTCTAATGAGGAAGTCAGGATTTCCATCAGTAAGAGATCACCAGGTGCTCTTTGGTATGGTAACTAACAGAACTACTCCTCATGTACAAACATATCATTTTATCTTTATTTTATAAGTACACTAACATGATATTACTATTTTAATAAATGTCAAACTTACAATGTATTCTGTACTCTTAACATACGTACCACAATATCATGTTGTGTTGAGTTAACACAGACCTCAGATAAAGTAAGGATACGTCAGATCCAATAATAGACGTTTATACCTGTTCAGTAAAGAATGAAATAATTAGGCAGGGGATTTGAATATCGCATCTGCTTCACCTCCAGCTGCTTATACAGGTCTTACACATAATTTCCCTGGTATAACCTGAGCTTAACGCTTGTTAAACAGAACTGTCTTCTGCCTTCATATGATGACATCACATGGGCTGCTACACTGTCTGATCAGAGCTTTGGTTTCTTCACATCGACACATTACAAAATTTCCTTGTTTGGTTAATCATGTTCTACCAATTATGTGATGATTTTGTATATAATGTATACCCATGTAGGTGTTGTATTGTCAGTGTAATACAAGGTATTCCCAGGAATAACACTCTCACCTGTCTACACACCTGGCTTGTCCCCTGCTTATGTCAGATTAGCCTTGCGTTGTACTGTAAGCATGTAAAGCATGGTAGATAGAATGGACTGATATACTTAAACAACAGTTCATTACTTATATATAATATCTAGTATACAAGTTAGTGATTTGTTTTTTACTCGGACAAGTTATATAGCTCTCTATGTGAGTTATTTTTTGTTATTTTCCTGTACTAGAAAAGTTTCTCTGTGATCTTAATATAATTCAAGACAGAAACATTACAATATAAGGGACTTTAATATTCTTTCTTGGTTCTTTTAGATCATTTTTTTTTAATCTTTGTGTCCTAATTGGTATCTTTTCAGCTGTTTTATTTTCCTGTACAGGTTCATTTTTGTCATTTTTAAGGTAATAATGACCATTATAGACCAATGTAAAACCTTTTGATTTCCATTGTAACATTGGTTGGCCTGTCTGTTTCCAGGGTACCGTGCTTGTTAACAACAGCGACAAGCCCCTGAAATGGGTGATGGATCTGAGTGCACCAGTGAAGGCTCTACAGGATGGAATAATCAAATTTATCCATCCATCTGGAGTACCATTTGTGGTTATGAACCCACAGGAGAGTAAAGGCATTGAAGGCATTCTAGAGGCTGGACAGACCCAGCATGTTGCTGTCTTATTCTGTCCTAGTAAGTTACACTGATAAGAGAAATGTCTTTTTTATTTTTACTTCAATATGTAAATCTAGAGGACATCCTAGAGGCTGGACAGAACCAGCATGTTGCTGTCTTATTCCGTCCCAGTAAAATAAGAGAAAAAGACTATAACATAATAAAGATCTATACTTGCTATTGACTGCTGTAAGAGATTTTGTCTCACATTAACACGTCTAGTCTAATTATCATCCAGAGCTGTTTGATTTGTTCAAAAGCAAAGAAAACTAATGTTCTTTTTCACTTTCCAGCTGAACCATGTCGCCATGAGTTGGTAATCCCAATTCTGATCAATGACCTTGAGAAGCCTTACCAGTACCTTCAGGTCATCGCAGAGATGAAATCTCCAAAGCTCTGGTTTGACCCTTTGGCCATTGTTATGACCCCTGTGCCTCTTATGACAGAGGTTTCCACAGAATTCACCGTTTTGGCTGGACAGTACAGCAAGTAAGTTTGACACTAATTAGAATTACATACCAGCTGTTATCCTTGTTTTCAGTATAAGTATAAGTTATTTTTGTCACATTTTAACATCAGAAAAGATTGATTATCACTCAACACCTTTATAGCCTTACCTTGCTTAATGTATAAAATACATAAATCACTGTTAATGTTGTAGACCTTCCCATATCTCCGTGATAACACCAACAGTTGAATGTGAGGACGGCAGTACAATTTCACCGATCAGTGTTGTCTGGCCGGAGGGATCAGGTAGGTTCAGCTAGAATCACCAGTTGTTACCACACTCCTATAATGTCACAGTGTGTCACGACATTTAGATCTCCAGCTAGAATCACCAGTTGTTACTGTACTCCTGTAATGTCACAGTGTGTCATGACATTTAGATCTATGTGAACTGATGTTTGAATTACCATAATAAATTGAAGATAGGTTTTGTGACATTAAATTGTAGTTTTATCTAATATGTATCCTGACAGTTTGATGTCTGTGATTACAGAAGTAAGTCCCTGCTGTGGAGATGATGGACAGATTGAACCTTGTGCTCTGCCTTGTAAACTCATCTTTTCAAGCCCCAAACCAGTCTCCTTTGCAGAACCTATCTTGTTTGTGGACTCTGACGACCGCAAGTAAGTTCCCCAGATAACTGCAGAAATAAGTGTTGATTAACAGTCAGTATACAGGCTGACCATGTTTAAGGTCTTCAGATACATTATTACAACACCAAATTATCAAGTTTAACATTTTAGAACAATATTTATCTAGTTTATTGTATAAGATGTGCACAACTTTCTTTGCGAGGCCAGTTATATGATAACTTATGTACAAGATGCATACATTTTCTTGTAAAAAAAACTTATGTGATCAGTACCTGTTTATCACACACAGAAGTACCAGGGTATATTTTGTCCAATGAAATTATTTTGAAAATGGTTTTAAATAAAACGCGTTGATATCAAATTGACTAGGATAGGATACAACACTTCTGATGACTACATTTCTGGTTTGATTTCACTGGTTGTTTGTGATTTCAGATTTAAGTTGGTGGTGATGGCGACAGCTGACAATTGTCTACTAACTTGTTATCACTTCCTCGCCCTCCATAGGACTGATCACCAAATTGTTTGTGAACCGGTGAGAGCTGATAAAGATCTTTGTAAATTTATGAAAACTTTCAGAATTTCACCTTCAACACAAACTTGATCACAAGATTAGAATGAAATGTGACTAGAATATCTGGTTTCAAAAATATCTACAGAAGCTCTTGAATGTATTTTCACATTTCTGAAGATTGATTGATATCAGTCTGTGAACAGCAAGTAATTTAAAATGATATTGCTTTATTTGTAGGGTGCATCACCCAAGGGTCGAAAGTTCCTGACAAACGAAAACATCAACGGAGGGGAGGCTGTGATTGTCCCATGCGTGTCTCCCACACACAACAGTCGTCCCAGTACCAGTGCTACTAGCTCCAATTTCCAGATCTCCTCCTCTAGCTATGAGTCTTCAGGCAGTGTAACAGGTAAAGACTTGCGCTAATGAAATGTCATTACCAATATGTAGTTTCCTGCCTTGCTAGGACACTATCATACACTTTGTCATGATTTTGGGCAATGTCAACTCTGATAGTTTAAACTCTTAATTATTTTCAGAAGCACTTACCAGCTGGTGAAAACTTGGTATATATGTAACAGGTTAAGACTTACCAGCTGGTGAAAACTTGGTATATATGTGACAGGTGAAGACTTACCAGCTGGTGAAAACTTGTTATATATGTAACAGGTGAAGACTTACCAGCTGGTGAAAACTTGGTATATATGTAACAGGTGAAACCAGCTGGTGAAAACTTGGTTTATACAACAGATAAGTTATATACTTGTTTGTATCCAAGTTAAACTTACATATCACCTGGTTTATATTTCTATTTTTGTTCAGATTCCACAGATGGCAGTACACCTATAAATCGGGAGGGTGCTATGAACAAGCCTCCATCTGGCTCTGAGCATGCCATGAGTCGCAATCAACAGGACCTTGCTTCACGCTCCTTGGGCTCTGCCATGTTCCCAGACGAAGATTCTGAAGAGGGAATATTCCACCTGGAGGTTCTCCTGGCAGTCCAGAGATGGTACTCGTCACAAGGTTGGCCTTCAGGCCAGTTTCCCATCAGTATTCCACACTCACTCAGGAGGTATGTATTAAATAGCTAAGTATCTTTTCATGTTTCTGTCAAAGTGTTACTGCTTCATTCCTGTTTATTTCTTAATCAATATATATCGATACACTATATAAACAATAGATAAAGAAGGTCTTTCACGCTCCCACAGTGGTATCAGCAGGAAGCCAATCAACGATGACATGCCAAAGCAGGCCAAGGCTGGTAGTTGGGATACTAATAACCTGAAGAAAGAATTCAAGACTATATATGATATGATGTGCCACCTTTCTGGGCGACCTATACCTGGTATTCCACTCAATTCACCTTTACCCTCTGACCCCATAGAGCGAGTCAAACAGGTGTACTGGCAGCACTCAACATTGCTCACATTCCTCAAGTAGGTCAAACTTTAAATGTCAATATTTGATTCAGGATTTATCTAACTATTTGCCAGATTTGATATTAAAGGATGACTTGTTTGTGATTTCATAAAGACATGACTTGCCAGTTTTTTATTCAGACATTTGTATCTGGCGTAAAGTCATACATTACTGGTTCATGTTATGTCTGGTATGCTGTAGTCTAGTTAACTTTCACATCAATTTTTAACCAAAAGAAATCTTGTAGAGTGATTTGAGAAGCTTAAGTCACCTTAACACTTAATAGCTGACAGAACTTTGACCTTTAACCTTAGGTGTCAGGGTGCCTGTGTAGCTGCCATTAAACCTGAGTACTTGATGGAGCCACGTGACTATCACCTGTGGAAACAGATGCAAAAGCAGCTGAAACTGGAGCTTGTAACACAGGGGGAGGAGGAGGAGGCCAAGAAAATGGATGATGAGGAGGAGCTGGAAGGAGATGTGTTTGAGGCTGTCTCAAAACGAGCCTGGACAGACATCCTTCTACAGCTTCTCAAGGTATAATATTCTGATATACAACACCTCCTTGTTCTATCTCTTACAACACCAAAGCCTAACCACTTTTATTGTCTACAGAGTTCTATTGTATTGTATACAGGGTTTTATTGTATACGGGGTTCTATTGTATACAGAGTTTTATTGTATACAGAGTTCTATTGTATACAGAGTTCTATTGTATTGTATACAGGGTTTTATTGTATACGGGGTTCTATTGTATACAGGGTTTTATTGTATACAGAGTTCTATTGTATACAGAGTTTTATTGTATACAGAGTTCTATTGTATACAGAGTTCTATTGTATACATAGTTTTATTGTATACAGAGTTCTATTGTATACAGAGTTCTATTGTATACAGAGTTCTATTGTATACAGAGTTCTATTGTATACAGAGTTTTATTGTATACAGAGTTTTATTGTATACAGAGTTTTATTGTATACAGAGTTCTATTGTATACAGAGTTTTATTGTATACAGAGTTTTATTGTATACAGAGTTCTATTGTATACAGAGTTTTATTGTATACAGGGTTCTATTGTATACAGAGTTTTATTGTATACAGAGTTCTATTGTATACAGAGTTTATTGTATACAGAGTTTTATTGTATACAGAGTTCTATTGTATACAGAGTTCTATTGTATACAGAGTTTTATTGTATACAGAGTTCTATTGTATACAGAGTTTTATTGTATACAGAGTTCTATTGTATACAGAGTTCTATTGTATACATCTATTGTATACAGGGTTTTATTGTATACGGGGTTCTATTGTATACATCTATTGTATACAGAGTTTTATTGTATACGGGGTTCTATTGTATACAGAGTTTTATTGTATACAGAGTTCTATTGTATACAGAGTTTATTGTATACAGAGTTTTATTGTATACAGAGTTCTATTGTATACAGAGTTCTATTGTATACAGAGTTCTATTGTATACAGAGTTCTATTGTATACAGAGTTTTATTGTATACATCTATTGTATACAGAGTTTTATTGTATACAGAGTTCTATTGTATACAGAGTTTTATTGTATACAGAGTTCTATTGTATACAGAGTTCTATTGTATACATCTATTGTATACAGAGTTTTATTGTATACAGAGTTCTATTGTATACAGAGTTCTATTGTATACATCTATTGTATACAGAGTTCTATTGTATACATCTATTGTATACAGAGTTCTATTGTATACAGAGTTCTATTGTATACAGAGTTTTATTGTATACAGAGTTTTATTGTATACAGAGTTCTATTGTATACAGAGTTCTATTGTATACAGAGTTTTATTGTATACAGAGTTCTATTGTATACAGAGTTCTATTGTATACAGAGTTCTATTGTATACATCTATTGTATACAGAGTTCTATTGTATACAGAGTTCTATTGTATACATCTATTGTATACAGAGTTCTATTGTATACAGAGTTCTATTGTATGCAGAGTTTTAATGTATACAGAGTTCTATTGTATACAGAGTTCTATTGTATACATCTATTGTATACAGGGTTTTATTGTATACGGGGTTCTATTGTATACAGAGTTTTATTGTATACAGAGTTCTATTGTATACAGAGTTCTATTGTATACATCTATTGTATACAGAGTTTTATTGTATACAGAGTTCTATTGTATACAGAGTTCTATTGTATACAGAGTTCTATTGTATACAGAGTTCTATTGTATACAGAGTTCTATTGTATACAGAGTTCTATTGTATACAGAGTTCTATTGTATACAGAGTTCTATTGTATACAGAGTTCTATTGTATACAGAGTTCTATTGTATACAGAGTTCTATTGTATACAGAGTTCTATTGTATACATCTATTGTATACAGAGTTTTATTGTATACAGAGTTCTATTGTATACAGGGTTTTATTGTATACAGAGTTCTATTGTATACAGAGTTCTATTGTATACAGAGTTTTATTGTATACAGAGTTTTATTGTATACAGAGTTCTATTGTATACCGAGTTTTATTGTATACGGGGTTCTATTGTATACATCTATTGTATACAGAGTTTTATTGTATACAGAGTTCTATTGTATACAGAGTTCTATTGTATACATCTATTGTATACAGAGTTTTATTGTATACAGAGTTTTATTGTATACAGAGTTTTATTGTATACAGAGTTCTATTGTATACAGAGTTTTATTGTATACAGAGTTCTATTGTATACAGGGTTTTATTGTATACAGAGTTCTATTGTATACAGGGTTTTATTGTATACAGAGTTTATTGTATACAGAGTTCTATTGTATACAGAGTTCTATTGTATACGGGGTTCTATTGTATACGGGGTTCTATTGTATACAGAGTTCTATTGTATACAGAGTTTATTGTATACAGAGTTCTATTGCATACAGAGTTCTACAGAAGTTTTTGTATACAGGGTTTGAGTTCCTACGTGTGAAAAAAATAACCTCAGATGTTAGATACCTTGTTTAAGCTGGCCAACCTACATATAAACCTTTTAGAAGAAAGATTTCTACACTGCAAAGAACATTGGTTTAACAGTATTACTATCTTCATGTTACTACTGTATTGTAATAATGAGAAATTTTACATTGTTTTTTGTTTTAATTTGAAAAAGCGATAGTCTCTGATACATATTGCTTTCCACTTTCACAGTGTGTAGTCCTGAGCAAGGTAACTCCACGAAGCCTGAAAGGTCTTGTGCCTCCTGACAAGAATGTTGAGATGCCGGAGGTGAATCCTGACCCACTGAGCAGCAACATCTACAGTGTAGGGGAGAGAATTATCCTCACTTGGCTTAATCATCATTATGAACACTATAGGACACGTATCTGGTCAAACTGTAGTAAGGGTAAGTCATATAACTGGACATTAAGCTGGTCAAACTGTAGTAAGGGTAAGTCATTAGCTGGTCAAACTGTAGCAAGGACAGGTCATATAACTGGACATATGTCTGGTCAAACTGTAGTAAGGACAGGTCATATAACTGGACATTTAGCTGGTCAAACTGTAGCAAGGACTGGTCATATAACTGGACATTTAGCTGGTCAAACTGTAGCAAGGACAGGTCATATAACTGGACATTTAGCTGGTCAAACTGTAGCAAGGACAGGTCATATAACTGGACATTTAGCTGGTCAAACTGTAGCAAGGACAAGGACAGGTCATATTACTAGACATTTAGCTGGTCAAACTGTAGCAAGGACAAGGACAGGTCATATTACTAGACATTTAGCTGGTCAAACTGTAGCAAGGACAGGTCATATAACTGGACATATGTCTGGTCAAACTGTAGTAAGGACAGGTCATATAACTGGACATTTAGCTGGTCAAACTGTAGCAAGGACTGGTCATATAACTGGACATTTAGCTGGTCAAACTGTAGCAAGGACAGGTCATATAACTGGACATTTAGCTGGTCAAACTGTAGCAAGGACAGGTCATATAACTGGACATTTAGCTGGTCAAACTGTAGCAAGGACAGGTCATATAACTGGACATTTAGCTGGTCAAACTGTAGCAAGGACAGGTCATATAACTGGACATTTAGCTGGTCAAACTGTAGTAAGGGTAAGTCATATAACTGGACATTTAGCTGGTCAAACTGTAGCAAGGACAGGTCATATAACTGGACATTTAGCTGGTCAAACTGAAGCAAGGACAGGTCATATAACTTTGACATTTAGCTGGTCAAACTGTAGCAAGAACAGGTCATATAACTGGACATATGTCTGGTCAAACTGTAGCAAGGACAGGTCATATACTGGACATTTAGCTGGTCAAACTGTAGCAAGGACAGGTCATATAACTGGACATTTAGCTGGTCAAACTGTAGCAAGGACAGGTCATATTACTGGACATATATCTGGTCAAGCATGCTGGAATTTACAATTTTCTTGTGAAGACAGAATTCTTGATGAACTATATAGACATATATATCTAAATGATACTTTTATGTTTCATTAAAAGAAAAAATTCCAATTTTATATTGACATTTGCCCTCTGAATAGTACATTGGATATTTTATACATTTGTAGGAGGGGTACCTCCCTCACGTTGGATTGTTAACTATGACTTTGACTTGTTGGATGGACTGGTGCTGGGAGCTGTCCTTGGGGCTCACATGCCCTTCCTGGTGGGTATTGCTGTCTTTTAGTCAGTTCAATTCACCATTTTCTCATGTTTTCTCATGCCATTTTAGTTTAAATCCCTGAAATATAAGAAAACTTGGTATTAATGTTTCAGATTAAGACTCATCTTCAGGATATGTATACAAACCCTGCTACAGCAGAACAGTGTCTCCACAATGCCCTCAAGGTTGTCAATGCCATGAGATATGCTGGCCTTGACTACGACATCCAGGTATGTCTTCTATCATCCTGCTGAAAAGATTTGGAAAAAAGGGGCAGTTACTATCAAAAATGTTGTTTCCAAAAATTTCACTGGTGTATTAGCATAAACAGGTGAAAAAATTGATACGTTGAAAATAAGACTATGGTCCATATTTTATGATATCCATAAAAAATACAGAGCCTTCTTGCTCACTGATTTTGTTACCATGTTTTAGTAAAAAGCTGATCTGATCAAAAAAGGGCGTTACTGACAAATGGAATGAACCTGTTCCAAAATGTGCTGTAGCAAGCTATGTGACAGTTTGTGTAATTTTCTGTTTGGTATTAAATTGTCATTTTACTCCTGACTATTATTTGCAGGCGATTGACATCACAGACCCTAACCCTATTGCCTTGTTATTGCTGTGTGTAAATCTGTACCAGCGACTGCCTCAGTACATTCCTAAGGCCACGATAGACTACTCTGGTAGTCTTCATGCTACAGTGACGAGACAGGTACAGCCAGTTTTACTAAGCAACAGTTCACCTAGTTATCAAAATATGTAGCTCTACGTGCTCACTTTATTTTGATGAGGAAGGCTTGAATGTTTCAGTTTACTATTTCAGTATCTAAGATTATATCAATAACCATTTATATGTTTATGGTACAGAGTGTTGACATTTCTAAATTACCCTATGTTTTGCCCTCCAGGTGAAGCTGAGTAACCCCAGTGGTAAGACGCTGGTATACCAAGTACTGATTGCTGGACATGATGCTCGTGACTTCAGAATCCCCAAAGGAGACTTTGTGTCTATTGCTCCAAGGTCCACCTTATATCTCAATGTTGATTTCACAAGTCGATTTCTACGCCCAGCAGAGGCCACACTTGTTCTGGTAGGACGACGTCATGGTTCATCAGTTGGGACAACGCTGACATTCACTCTCAGAACTCAAATAGATAACATCACACCCAAGGTAAGACTGATATCAGTGTAGGTACTGTCTTTCTTACACTGTAATGTCTTATATTGTTTCTGATTGAAAAATGTCATAATTTACATATCTAAATGGTTATGGTAAATCTAACATATGTTTAGATCTGCTCTAATCTGTATCTTTGGTAATGGGATCTCTAAGCATGATTCACAGTATTGGTCTATTCTAGCTAGAACTAGTAGAAATTAGCCACTTGAATGTACTTAGGTAAGTTCTGTAGAGGAATGCCTTTCCCTTGTTATACATCTAATGTCACATATCTTTAGTTCTGTCTTTATCTATTACAGTACAAGATCTTTACAATGGTAGCAAATTTTATATTGATTTACCTAGTGTATAAAAAAGATACATTTTGAAATGCTTGTGTTCTGACTGTCCTCGTTCAGTGTATGTATGACATATATAACATTTGTAGGACCATTATGTGTGTTAAAGCTGTATCTGTACATATTTACCCAGCTTTTGGTCATTGCTTATGCTTGTATCAATTTTTCGTCTGCCTGTTTTATTTCAGCAGAAGAAAACAGAAGAGGTAGATTACAATGCATGTTCACAGATTCACTATACTAACCTCTTACAAGTGTTGCAAAATAGTGGTCAGTTCATCTGTAGAAGTAATTAACATGCTGGCATTGGTTCTGTAGCTCAGAAATGACATATTGGGTTGGTTCTGTACTAGGGCAATATTCAGGGCTGGTTCTATACATCTGGGTTGACATTCAGTGTTGGTTCTGTAGATCTGGGGTCTGGGGTCACTTTTTTAGGGTTTATTCTGTAGATAAGGGATGGCATTCAGGATAAGTTCAGTAAATCTTGGGTGACATTCAAGGTAGATTCTTGAAATCTTGGGTGACATTCAGGGTTGGTTCTGTAGATAAGGGATGACATTCAGGGTTGGTTCTGTAGATCTGGGGTCACCTTTTTAGGGTTGGTTCTGTAGATAAGGGGTGACATTCAGGGTTGGTTCCGTAGATAAGGGGTGACATTCAGGGTTGGTTCCGTAGATCTTGGGGTCACTTTTAGGGTTGATTCTGTAGATAAGGGGTGACATTCAGGGTTGGTTCTGTAGATCTGGGGTCGCCTTTTTAGGGTTGGTTCTGTAGATAAGGGGTGACATTCAGGGTTGGTTCCGTAGATAAGGGGTGACATTCAGGGTTGGTTCCGTAGATCTTGGGGTCACTTTTAGGGTTGATTCTGTAGATAAGAGTGACATTCAGGGTTGGTTCTGTAGATCTGGGGTCACAATTAGGGTTGATTCTGTAGATAAGGGGTGACATTCAGGGTTGGTTCTGTAGATCTGGGGTCGCCTTTTTAGGGTTGGTTCTGTAGATAAGGGGTGACATTCAGGGTTGGTTCCGTAGATAAGGGGTGACATTCAGGGTTGGTTCCGTAGATCTTGGGGTCACTTTTAGGGTTGATGCTGTAGATAAGGGTGACATTCATGGTTGATTCTGTTGATAAGGGTGACATTCAGGGTTGGTTCTGTAGATATGGAGTGACATTCAGGGTTGATTCTGTAGACAAGGGTGACATTCAGGGCTGGTTCTGTAGATAAGGAGTGACATTCAGGGTTGGTTCTGTAGATAACGGGTGACATTCAGGGTTGATTCTGTTGATAAGGGGTGACATTCAGGGTTGGTTCTGTAGATAAGGATGACATTCAGGGTTGATTCTGTTGATAAGGGGTGACATTCAGGGTTGGTTCTGTAGATAACGGGTGACATTCAGGGTTGATTCTGTTGATAAGGGGTGACATTCAGGGTTGGTTCTGTAGATAACGGGTGACATTCAGGGTTGATTCTGTAGATAAGGGTGACATTCAGGGTTGGTTCTGTAGATAAGGGTGACATTCAGGGTTGGTTCTGTTCACTGTGGTGATGATAGATGTTTCTTCTAGTAAGTCTCTCTTATGTCTGTAATTGAAATAAAAAATGTGCTGGACACAATAAAATCAACTTTTTAATAGGAAGAATTATAAATGCTACAAATTCAATGGATTGGAAAATATGTTTTGTGTATGTTCATAGAGTTTTTATTGATTGTGTAGAATACTTCAGATACACTTTAATACAGCTATACTTTCTTTATCATTGGTGATTTCCTACTTGACCAGATATTGGGGAGCTTGGTCATACATCTCTAGCATTAACCAATTCTGTTCAGAAATCATTTACTTTCCATTTGAAGTAATTTATTTGTGTACACCAGTTCAGTTTATTTTCAAAAAGTCTGAAAAAAATCCATCTAATCCTCCAAAATCATCAAGGTTTGTGAATGTATACTATTTTGTAATATTTGTAAAACAATACATGTAATATTTGTTTTCCATGATAGTTGTATCAGATTGCATCAATCATCTGGTTTTTTCTAGAAATAGAATTTAGTTTTATTACAAGGTAGTTTTTCTTGATGTGTGCCTTTGTTTTCATTCTTTGATTTCATCAGGAAGTTATTTCTTCCCATTCATGGTTCCTCTCCCTTACATTTTCAAATATGTTTCTAGAGTTCATGTCATAGCAAAACATTTAAATGTTGCTTATATTTGTTGTCTCAGTAGCAGGTACTTGTTCTAAACATTTGTTGTCTCAGTAGCAGGTACATGTTCCAAACATTTGTTGTCTCAGTAGCAGGTACTTGTTCTAAACATTTGTTGTCTCAGTAACAGGTACATGTTCCAAACATTTGTTGTCTCAGTAACAGGTACATGTTCCAAACATTTGTTGTCTCTGTAGCAGGTACATGTTGCAAACATTTGTTGTCTCCGTAGCAGGTATATGATCCAAACATTTGTTGTCTCAGTAGCAGGTACATGTTCCAAACATTTGTTGTCTCAGTAGCAGGTACTTGTTCTAAACATTTGTTGTGTCAGTAACAGGTAGATGTTCCAAACATTTGTTGTCTCAGTAACAGGTAGATGTTCCAAACATTTGTTGTCTCAGTAACAGGTACATGTTCCAAACATTTGTTGTCTCAGTAACAGGTAGATGTTCCAAACATTTGTTGTCTCAGTAGCAGGTAGACGTTCCAAACATTTGTTGTCTCAGTAGCAGGTAGATGTTCCAAACATTTGTTGTCTCAGTAACAGGTACATGTTGCAAACCTTTGTTGTCTTTGTGTAGCAGGTACATGTTCCAAACATTTGTTGTCTCAGTAACAGGTACACGTTCCAAATGTTTGTTGTTTTTTGTAGCAGGTACATGTTCCAAACATTTGTTGTCTCAGTAACAGGTACATGTTCCAAACATTTGTTGTCTCAGTAGCAGGTACATGATCCAAATATTTGTTGTCTCAGTAGCAGGTACATGTTCCAAACATTTGTTGTCTCAGTAGCAGGTACATGTTCCAAACATTTGTTGTCTCAGTAACAGGTACATGTTCCAAACATTTGTTGTCTCAGTAGCAGGTACATGATCCAAATATTTGTTGTCTCAGTAGCAGGTACATGTTCCAAACATTTGTTGTCTCAGTAGCAGGTACATGTTCCAAACATTTGTTGTCTCAGTAACAGGTACATGTTCCAAACATTTGTTGTCTCAGTAGCAGGTACATGTTCCAAATATTTGTTGTCTCAGTAGCAGGTACATGATCCAAATATTTGTTGTCTCAGTAGCAGGTACATGTTCCAAACATTTGTTGTCTCAGTAGCAGGTACATGATCCAAATATTTGTTGTCTCAGTAGCAGGTACATGATCCAAATATTTGTTGTCTCAGTAGCAGGTACATGTTCCAAACATTTGTTGTCTCAGTAGCAGGTAGATGTTCCAAACATTTGTTGTCTCAGTAACAGGTAGATGTTCCAAACATTTGTTGTCTCAGTAGCAGGTACATGTTCCAAACATTTGTTGTCTCAGTAGCAGGTACATGATCCAAATATTTGTTGTCTCAGTAACAGGTAGATGTTCCAAACATTTGTTGTCTCAGTAGCAGGTACATGTTCCAAACATTTGTTGTCTCAGTAGCAGGTACATGTTCCAAATATTTGTTGTCTCAGTAGCAGGTACATGATCCAAATATTTGTTGTCTCAGTAACAGGTAGATGTTCCAAACATTTGTTGTCTCAGTAGCAGGTACATGATCCAAATATTTGTTGTCTCAGCAACAGGTACATGTTCCAAACATTTGTTGTCTCAGTAGCAGGTACATGTTCCAAACATTTGTTGTCTCAGTAGCAGGTACATGTTCCAAACATTTGTTGTCTCAGTAGCAGGTACATGATCCAAATATTTGTTGTCTCAGTAGCAGGTACATGTTCCAAATATTTGTTGTCTCAGTAGCAGGTACATGATCCAAATATTTGTTGTCTCAGTAACAGGTAGATGATCCAAATATTTGTTGTCTCAGTAGCAGGTACATGATCCAAATATTTGTTGTCTCAGTAGCAGGTACATGATCCAAATATTTGTTGTCTCAGTAACAGGTACATGTTCCAAATATTTGTTGTCTCAGTAACAGGTACATGTTCCAAACATTTGTTGTCTCTGTAGCAGGTACATGATCCAAATATTTGTTGTTTTCATAGCAAATCAGAAACATGAGTGGGTACTATTTACATTTCCAATATGTTGTACAAATTATATACTTTATCTATCTTCATACACAAATTCATTATCAGTTTGATCACATATCATGTATTTTTGTTCTGTTTAAAACAAAGTATCACAACATTAATTGTCATGCAGATAAAGTTATACTGCACAATGCAAGTTTCAGCCTATTTTTAATTCACCGGTACTTATCTACTGCTATATATAGATCTACCTATAATTCTGACACATTTGTCCTCCATGTCTGTATGTTGTGAGTTTGACTGACCCCCAGTTTTGTGCGTTACCTAGCCATTCATTTTAATTTTACCAAGGCCTTTTTAGATATTTTATGATTTAGTTTTCACCACTGACAGCATGTCTGGGTTTTAAAACAAATATTGCCACGGATGATTTCATTTGATAGCATGTATTTTAACACCAAGTTTATGTTTTTATACAGTGGATTCATGCCTTTTAAAAATTAAGTAGTTGTAAATTTGAAATACCAGCCACATGGTTTAACACATTTACATCATCATATTGTTATAGGAACTGATGAAATAGATTGTAGTATGTAACAGGGCTGTAGATGTTATCACATACCAAGTCCCAGTCTAGGCTATGTTAATTATATATAAGCCATGGTAACTGATATCTTTACTTGGGAATCACTGAATGCTAACTGTTTATATATACTTTTACCTATTTATCTTATGAAATAAAATTCCATAATTCTTAATGAAAATGTATGCAATGCTGTCTTTAATAACTTGGTATATATCTATTGGTGTTTATACTATTTGCTAGTCCTTTGTGGTGTAGATGTACTTGCTGATATGCTAGTGTAATTGTATATTTCAATGTGATTGTCCTGTTTCTATTCACAGTACACAATTAAGTGTGAGTCACCATGTTATGAGTTAGAGAAGATCCCTATAAATGTCCGGAATCCATTTAATGAGGCTGGGGACTTCAGAATTGTCCTGGTCGAGGCCCAGTCCAGTCTGCTTGAACCAGGAAAACCAACATCTCTGCTAAAACCAAAAGAGAAAAGGAAACGAAAAGTACGAGCTCGTATTGATCATGGTCAAAAGCGCCCAGAAACTCCACCCACTCCTCCACCAAAACCACCAGAGGAAACAGACAAAAACAGTGGTAAGTTGTTGGGTAATGTTGTGAGTTTTCCCATCATAGCTACAACATTGAAAGCTTCCTTGACATAACCACACAGTTTGTGATGTAAGATTCCAGCAAAATACATGCTATTTCATATTATGATATCATATTATATTATACCTGTATGTATTTCAGATGACCAGGTGTCAATGAGTGCATTCTACAGTCCCAGCTCCAGTGTCCACCTGGATGCAAAGGGCTCGTCCACTGTGGAAATCTACTTTTTACCATTCAACATTGGTGACCGACAGGTATCTGTGATATTCCTCAATGAGTCAATCGGGGAGTTTTTGTACTCAGTGGAGGCCACAGCCACCCTGCCACTCCCAGCAGTGGTGCCATTCATTAAAACACCCCATAGTGTAAGGATCAGCAGTGCTGCAGCAGCAGGTAGGTTCTTGTAGTTAGGTGGTAACACCAAGTTTCTATTTACATCTAGTATTGAGATCTTGCTAAAACTTATCTACATATGTAATCATTACATACAACAATATTATGAATCTACAAATGCTAGGACCACTTTGACTTCAAAAGGTGACAGGAAATCGTTGGAAGCTGTGAAATCATTCCATCGAAACACTTATGACATGTGCTTTTGCCCTTCAGGTACAGGGCGTGGTCTGTTCGGTGGGGATGACCGGGTTGTGTACTGGAAGTGTGAGTCAGGTCAGACACTTCAAGAGACGCTCAAGGTCCCAGTCCTCAACAAGACTAAGGAGAAGGCCCTACTGATGGCTGCCCAACAGGTAAGTGGGCGGGGCAAGGCAGGGAAAACAGGTTAGTGGATGGGGCAGGTAGATAGTGGGTAATGTTAGAGTGAATCACATTAAAAACACATGGGTAAGGGTAAATTCATGGTGTTAACAAAAGTGATATCTGGTTCTACATTAATACACTATGCTACCTTCCATGGATTTAATATGAGTGATCTGACAGACTCTGATTTTTCATATTTTGATTAAAGCTGTATTGATCATTAACCCATGTAAGTTTGATATATAAATTGAACAAGTAATTTACTGATAACTTAGTGAAGACAAGTCAAAATTTCATTTATCTGTTCAAAAAACTATTGCACCATGTAACATGACATCAGCTAATTACAAACAACCTCTCTAGTACCAGACACATCAAACATGACCATTCTCAATATAATCAACCCTCCTTTTCAGTTCAAATTTCCTTCCTTTTCAATGTACTGCTGCAGAAGTATAAAAATGACATTCATGTGGGAAAATTTTAACTGTGGAAAGCTGATGATTGTATAGAATTGATAAAAAAAATTAAGGGGAGGTGTATCTTATTATCTAGCAAAATGTAAACATGATGTTGTAACAGAAAGTGATATTCCTGTGTTAACAATACATTATGAATTAATCATATGGTGGTTCTGGGAAGTTTGTTTGGTGAATGGACTGGTAAACAATACATAAACAAGTTAGATGAACATTACAGACACATTGACATATTGTAATGGTTGTTAGTACAGACGCATTGACATATTGTAATGGTTGTTAGTACAGACACATTGACATATTGTAATGGTTGTTGGTACAGACACATTGACATATTGTAATGGTTGTTAGTACAGACACATTGACATATTGTAATGGTTGTTGGTAGAGACACATTGACATATTGTAATGGTTGTTGGTACAGACACATTGTAATGGTTGTTAATACAGACACATTGACATATTGTAATGGTTGTTGGTACAGACACATTGACATATTGTCATGGTTGTTGGTACAGACACATTGACATATTGTAATGGTTGTTAGTACAGACACATTGACACATTGTAATGGTTGTTGGTACAGACACATTGACACATTGTAATGGTTGTTGGTACAGACACATTGACACATTGTAATGGTTGTTGGTACAGACACATTGACACATTGTAATGGTTGTTGGTACAGACACATTGACACATTGTAATGGTTGTTGGTACAGACACATTGACATATTGTAGTGGTTGTTGGAACAGACACATTGACATATTGTAATGATTGTTGGTACAGACACATTGACATATTGTAGTGGTTGTTGGTACAGACACATTGACATATTATAATGGTTGTTGGTACAGACACATGGACATATTGTAATGGTTGTTGGTACAGACACATTGACATATTGTAATGGTTGTTGGTACAGACACATTGACATATTGTAATGGTTGTTGGTACAGACACATTGACATATTGTAATGGTTGTTAGTACAGACACATTGTAATGGTTGTTAGTACAGACACATTGACATATTGTAATGGTTGTTAGTACAGACACATTGACATATTGTAATGGTTGTTAGTACAGACACATTGACATATTGTACTGGTTGTTAGTACAGACACATTGACATATTGTAATGGTTGTTGGTACAGACACATTGACATATTGTACTGGTTGTTAGTACAGACACATTGACATATTGTAATGGTTGTTAGTACAGACACATTGACATATTGTACTGGTTGTTGGTACAGACACATTGACATATTGTAGTGGTTGTTGGTACAGATACATTGACATATTGTAATGGTTGTTGGTACAGACACATGGACATATTGTAATGGTTGTTGGTACAGACACATTGACATATTGTAATGGTTGTTGGTACAGACACATTGACATATTGTAATGGTTGTTGGTACAGACACATTGACATATTGTAATGGTTGTTAGTACAGACACATTGTAATGGTTGTTAGTACAGACACATTGACATATTGTAATGGTTGTTAGTACAGACACATTGACATATTGTAATGGTTGTTAGTACAGACACATTGACATATTGTACTGGTTGTTAGTACAGACACATTGACATATTGTAATGGTTGTTAGTACAGACACATTGACATATTGTAATGGTTGTTGGTACAGACACATGGACATATTGTAATGGTTGTTGGTACAGACACATTGACATATTGTAATGGTTGTTGGTACAGACACATTGACATATTGTACTGGTTGTTGGTACAGACACATTGACATATTGTAATGGTTGTTGGTACAGACACATTGACATATTGTACTGGTTGTTAGTACAGACACATTGACATATTGTAATGGTTGTTGGTATATTACAGACACATTGTAATGGATGTTAGTATATTACAGTAGCCAGTGATAGCTTTTTGTAGTATTTGTTTTAGCACCTTATGTTTACATAGACCTGTTATAGATGTTATCTGTGAGCACAGTAGATATGATCACAGTAGATTTTTTAATTATTAGTGTTACACTATTATAGATGCCATTACATGCTTTGGTCTGTCAGTACTACAGGCGGTGATGAGATGTGTGGTTGTGATGTATCAATCCTGTCATTGTCATCTCTATTTAAATGTTGTGTTTTCTTTGTTGTTTGATTTTTAAAATTGTATCAGCCTTAATATATTTGAACAGATTTACTGAAATATTTTCATTTAAATTTCTTTTATTATGAATTATTCAGAATATTTAATGCAGGATAAAGATTCTGTACCACTTCCTTCTATCTTAATTCAGTTTCATAAGATATAGAAAACTCACTGCCAAACAGAGAATTCTAAAAATATGCTTCTATTTCTAGGTTTAAGGTCATTGTTAAAGTCACCAAATGTTGAGTATTAATGCTGATACAGGGTTTAATGTTTTGTTATCTGTTGTTTAACTTGAGGAGTTGTTTTTATTAATCTGCCAATTTTATTTGTTATTTCTGACAACTCCACATGATTTATATCTAATGTTTGAGGATGTTTGACAAGGTGATGGGAGCTGGATTGTTGTATGATGTGATGTTTCACTATTTCTTGTTGTGACTGCCTGTTTTTACAGCACATGTCCTCCATGGAACTCCAGCGACGGCAGATTACGGGAACCCTCAAAACGTGTAGTGTCACCTCGAAAACAATTTCTCTGCTCACCAACAACATAGCACAAAGCATTAGCCGTACTTCAAAGGTGATCTCTCCTGCATGCTCCCCCACTAACTTTCTTCATCCTTCTGTGATAACCCTTCTCACTGTAAAACGAGAAAGTCAAGAAATACAGGACATCTTATTGATAAGGAATTCAGGAAGACATTGAAAATGTTAATGATAATACTATATGTACAAGGTATTGAAGTATAATGATATTCTGTAGCTACAGGGTGTGATATGAAGTTATACCTGGTATATGTATTGTACAAGTAAGACTCTCCCAGATATTTCTATTGTGATCACCTTTCTACATGGTCACATGATCATTCATTACATTGGACACTAGTCTGTTGTATTGACATCACCACCACTGTTTTTATCTGCACCCTGTTGTCATAAAAAGTATTGCAACAAACTTTTTACTTCTGTGTAACAGAGTTGTTTAATCAGAAAAAAATCACAAATCCAATGTCACCTTCGGTTGGTTGTCTACAATTGTTTGTGCCACATTATTTCTAAATAAAATATAAAATTTCTCCTCTCCCCATCCTACAGATTGTGTCTTCAGCAACAGAGGCACAAGAGGTTAACGGCTCAGAAAAAATGGTATAAGTTATTGTTTTGTTTTTATGTGGGAAGTTTATCACCATTGCATGCTACTTATATTTGTTGTACAGTATCATTTGTCTGGTAAACCTTTAATTCTATATCTGTATTTTTGTTCAATTTTTTAAGCTGAAATCAATTCACTGACAGTTATCGAAAGAAAATTAGAATAATTACTTATTGCGGAAATTGTGAAAAAATACCATGTGTTAAATATTAGTTGTTCCATTGAGTATCAGAAAAGAACATTAATGTAAACAAGGATTTATTGTAAAAGTGTGAAATTATTAGAAAAATAGAGTAATTTACATGTATACAATAGGTGCATGATCTGTTAAGTGTTGTCACTACCCTTCTCTCACATTACTCATCATTGCATGATGATTTGTTTGAACCCTATCCCACTGGGTGTAAATGATCACAGATGTTGTAGAGATTACTTCTTTTTTCATGTTTCAGATTTTTCTTTTACCACTTTTTGGAGTTTTATTTCTAAGCTTTTAATTTTACTCATAACATGTTATAATAACCTTTTGCACTGAAAATGCGCAAATGCTCAATGTTTTTTCTACTTTCAATTTTGCTTAATAATAATCAACAATTGATTTACTGTAATAGTTTGATTGTAATTTGTGTTTGTTGCTGCCTACTTGTCTAACAGCTGCTTTGATAGACATTTTTTACTATATCTGTTCACTAAGTATAGGATGGCTGATCTATAATTAACACCTGTACTTACTAAAATGAATGATTAAAATTTCAGCCCAACAAATCTCCATACGAGACCGAGTTTACTGTGGAAGTAGACTCAGAATTCTTCAGCCTCCCCAACAAACTAACAATGAGACCTCCCCCTTCATCACGATCCCAAAGCGCTTCAGCTACAGGTAGGACATCTAACTCTCTATGTCTTTGTCTTTCCTAATTGTATATCTTTTATTATCAAGGGTAAGATTTCAGACCTGAACTGTGACAAAAAAATTCTTGACTTTTGAAAAAATAGAGAATCAATAAATGAACACTTATGGCCAAAAGTGGACCTAAGGTCAAAGGTTAACTACACTTTGGTTAATAGATTAAATTACTGAAGACCAATTCTGGTCCTGTGAAATAGGAACAGAATTATGGTATATGCCACATTAATGAACTAAAGACCAATTCTTGTCCTGCAAAGTTATATGTACCAGGGGTAGGTATATGTACCAGGGATAGGTATATGTACCAGGGGTAGTTATATGTACCAGGGGTAGTTATATGTACCAGGGGTAGTTATATGTACCAGGGGTAGGTATATGTACCAGGGGTAGTTATATGTACAAGGGGTAGTTATATGTACCAGGGGTAGTTATATGTAGGAGGGGTTGTATGTACCAGGGGTAGTTATATGTACCAGGGGTAGTTATATATACCAGGGGTAGTTATATATACCAAGGGTAGTTATATGTACCAGCGGTAGTTATATGTACCAGGGGTAGTTATATGTAGGAGGGGTTGTATGTACCAGGGGTAGTTATATATACCAGGGATAGTTATATGTACCAGGGGTAGGTATATATACCAGGGGTAGTTATATGTACCAGGGGTAGTTATATGTACCAGGGGTAGTTATATATACCAGGGATTGTTATATGTACCAGGGGTAGTTATATATACCAGGGATTGTTATATGTACCGGGGGTAGTTATATGTACCAGGGGTAGTTATATGTACCAGGGGTAGTAATATGTACCAGGGGTAGTTATATGTACCAGGGGTAGTTATATGTACCAGCGGTAGTTATATGTACCAGGGGTAGTTATATGTACCAGGGGTAGTAATATGTACCAGGGGTAGTTATATGTACCAGGGGTAGTTATATGTACCAGCGGTAGTTATATGTACCAGGGGTAGTAATATGTACCAGGGGTAGTTATATGTACCAGGGGTAGTTATATGTACCAGGGGTAGTTATATGTACCAGCGGTAGTTATATGTACAAGGGGTAGTTATATGTACCAGGGGTAGTTATATGTAGGAGGGGTTGTATGTACCAGGGGTAGTTATATGTACCAGGGGTAGTTATATATACCAGGGGTAGTTATATATACCAAGGGTAGTTATATATACCAGAGGTATATACTGTGAGTACTGATCAGTGCCACATATATTTAGTTTGCACATTTTTTTTCCAGACTACCAAGGGAAGGAGCCTTTTATGGAGCTGCCCATCAAGTTCAAGGCTAAGGAACCAGGTCACTACCCCTGTCAGGTGGTCCTGAGGGGCTGTGACGATGTCAGGGTCTACAAGATTGAGTGCACAGTCAACCCAGAGGGCAGCACTGCAGAGTTACAATTCAAGACACCAGTTCATCAGTCAGTCTCACAGGAAATACCAGTTGTAAGTTTCCTCTGTAATTAGATACTTCTGTCTGTGATACTGGATTGAAATCTAGAGTACATTGAAACAACTTACTTATACATTGAGTATAAAGAGAAAAAGGATATCCAAAATAGTCAGCTTTTTTTTTTAATTGCTTTAATAAGCTAGAATTACTTTTGAATTCTGAATTATTTTTTAATGTTTTTGGTTTCGATTTGGGTTCTTAACAATCTTTGTCAGATAGTATATTTTCGTTCAGTTGTCAAAATGATAATATCTTTTAGTATAGTGTTTATTCAGTACTCTAGATAATATTTCATTTGTTAGGTGAACATGACAAATCATGACTGGCCACTGAAGGCGACCATAGAGGGATCTGGGTTCTATGGACCCCCTACAGTGCTGGTAAAGGCATACAACCCAACAACTTACCCACTGGTCTTCAAACCTCAGAATGAGGTCGAGGTCAAGGTCAGTATATTATTTAATTGTCCATCCTCATACATACTACTCTTGTATCTTGGGTGTTCTCTCTGGGGAATATATACAACTATTCTTTTTACCACAATACCCAGATATTGTGTAGGAGTACCTTCGAGAGTGTCTCTTGTTAACTTAAGGTTTGGTACCTTAGAGTATATTAGAGTTGAGGTGCAATTGATGGTTACCTGGGTTTATTACCCTGATAATAGCCAGGGTAAGTCTACACAGTTCTCCTGGTACTAGTGTGGCTAGCTGCATGCTGACTTTAAAACCCACTGAACACTAACTTGGGTTTATTACCCTGGTAATAGCCAGGATAAGTCTAGACAGCTCTCCAGGTACTAGTGTGGCTAGCTGCATGCTGACTTTAAAACCCACTGAACACTAACTTGGGTTTATTACCCTGGTAATAGCCAGGGTAAGTCTAGACAGCTCTCCAGGTACTAGTGTGGCTAGCTGCATGCTGACTTTAAAACCCACTGAACACTAACTTGGGTTTATTACCCTGGTAATAGCCAGGGTAAGTCTAGACAGCTCTCCAGGTACTAATGTGGCTAGCTGCATGCTGACTTTAAAACCCACTGAACACTAAGTGGGAGGCCTATTAGAAAACTGTAATAGTACCAGTTAGACCGTGATTTCAGCTTCCTTAGATAAACAAACCACCCTGGGTAGAAGCACAAACCTCTAATTGTAACATTTATTGCTCTAGCAACTAAGTTATCAAAGCCCCAGTAGATTAGAGGAACACAAACCACCGTGGGTACAGATAAACCACCATGGGTACAGATAAACCACCCTGGGTACAGATAAACCACCCTGGGTACAGATAAATCACCCTGGGTACAGATAAACCACCCAGGGTACAGATAAACCACCCTGGGTACAGATAAACCACCCTGGGTACAGATAAATCACCCTGGGTACAGATAAACCACCCAGGGTACAGATAAACCACCCTGGGTACAGATAAACCACCATGGGTACAGATAAACCACCCTGGGTACAGATAAACCACCCTGGGTACAGATAAATCACCCTGGGTACAGATAAACCACCCAGGGTACAGATAAACCACCCTGGGTACAGATAAACCACCCTGGGTACAGATACAAACCTCTAATTGTAAATGTCTAATGCTGTACCAACTAAGTTAGGGTGTTGGTGCTGTGGTAACGCACTTACCTTTCACCTAACCGTTTGGGGTTGGATTTCCTGAATGGAAGTGAAAAGGTATGGAGTCACCTGCCTGACCATGTGATAACTAAGTTATCATGTGTTTAGTAGATTAGAAGAGTTTTGTTCATTTAGTGACCTTTTCTGAACTCACAAATAAGTATGTCACATACCATTGTCAAACATGAGGCATGAGTGACATGTTGGGATACCTTCTATATCAAGTCTCACACTTCATCCCCATTTATATGTATAGGTATTCATAGTGAATAGATAGTAAGATATTTGACTTCAATATGTAATTTTATTGTTTGTAGGGAAAGCTGGTACTTACTAACACTGAGGACGGTACAGAACACATCTACCACCTTCACGGTCATCCAGAGAAACCGCTAGCTCTTGATCACGTAGTCATCAAATGTGATGCTAAGAAAAGGTCAGTCTGAAAAAACACTTGTTAATTTGACATTTGATGGTGTTAGACTTTCTCATGAAACTTACAAGCAGACAACCTTGATGTTTTTACCTCACTATCATTTCTTTTTACTTTCAGCACGGCACATATCTTAAAGATTCCAAATGTTACCAAAAAGAAAATGTGTTATAGAGTAAGTATTCATACTGCTAGAACATTCTTTAACATTCCGTGGTAATTCATCGTCAGGACAATATGGCCAGGTATATGTTATTCTTGTTCTCCCCAGGTCAGGTTTGACTTGTTATTCTATGTTCTTTTCCTACTCCCCAGGTCAGGTTTGACTCGTTATTCTATGTTCTTTTCCTACTCCCCAGGTCAGGTTTGACTGGTTATTCTATGTTCTTTTCCTACTCCCCAGGTCAGGTTTGACTCGTTATTCTATGTTCTTTTCCTACTCCCCAGGTCAGGTTTGGCTTGTTATTCTATGTTCTTTTCCTACTCCCCAGGTCAGGTTTGACTGGTTATTCTGTTCATTTCCTACTCCCCAGGTCACGTTTGGCTTGTTATTCTATGTTCTTTTCCTACTCCCCAGGTCAGGTTTGACTGGTTATTCTATGTTCTTTTCCTACTCCCCGGATCAGGTTTGACTCGTTATTCTATGTTCTTTTCCTACTCCCCAGGTCAGGTTTGACTGGTTATTCTATGTTCTTTTCCTACTCCCCAGGTCAGGTTTGACTGGTTATTCTATGTTCTTTTCCTACTCCCCAGGTCAGGTTTGACTGGTTATTCTATGTTCTTTTCCTACTCCCCAGGTCAGGTTTGACTGGTTATTCTATGTTCTTTTCCTACTCCCCGGATCAGGTTTGACTGGTTATTCTATGTTCTTTTCCTACTCCCCAGGTCAGGTTTGACTCGTTATTCTATGTTCTTTTCCTACTCCCCAGGTCAGGTTTGACTGGTTATTCTATGTTCTTTTCCTACTCCCCAGGTCAGGTTTGACTGGTTATTCTATGTTCTTTTCCTACTCCCCGGATCAGGTTTGACTCGTTATTCTATGTTCTTTTCCTACTCCCCGGGTCAGGTTTGACTGGTTATTCTATGTTCTTTTCCTACTCCCCAGGTCAGGTTTGACTCGTTATTCTATGTTCTTTTCCTACTCCCCAGGTCAGGTTTGACTGGTTATTCTATGTTCTTTTCCTACTCCCCAGGTCAGGTTTGACTGGTTATTCTATGTTCTTTTCCTACTCCCCAGGTCAGGTTTGACTGGTTATTCTATGTTCTTTTCCTACTCCCCAGGTCAGGTTTGACTGGTTATTCTATGTTCTTTTCCTACTCCCCAGGTCAGGTTTGACTGGTTATTCTACGTTCTTTTCCTACTCCCCAGGTCAGGTTTGACTGGTTATTCTATGTTCTTTTCCTACTCCCCGGGTCAGGTTTGACTGGTTATTCTATGTTCTTTTCCTACTCCCCGGGTCAGGTTTGACTGGTTATTCTATGTTCTTTTCCTACTCCCCGGGTCAGGTTTGACTCGTTATTCTATGTTCTTTTCCTACTCCCCAGGTCAGGTTTGACTGGTTATTCTATGTTCTTTTCCTACTCCCCAGGTCAGGTTTGACTGGTTATTCTATGTTCTTTTCCTACTCCCCAGGTCAGGTTTGACTGGTTATTCTATGTTCTTTTCCTACTCCCCAGGTCAGGTTTGACTGGTTATTCTATGTTCTTTTCCTACTCCCCAGGTCAGGTTTGACTGGTTATTCTATGTTCTTTTCCTACTCCCCAGGTCAGGTTTGACTGGTTATTCTATGTTCTTTTCCTACTCCCCAGGTCAGGTTTGACTGGTTATTCTATGTTCTTTTCCTACTCCCCAGGTCAGGTTTGACTGGTTATTCTATGTTCTTTTCCTACTCCCCAGGTCAGGTTTGACTGGTTATTCTATGTTCTTTTCCTACTCCCCAGGTCAGGTTTGACTGGTTATTCTATGTTCTTTTCCTACTCCCCAGGTCAGGTTTGACTGGTTATTCTATGTTCTTTTCCTACTCCCCAGGTCAGGTTTGACTGGTTATTCTATGTTCTTTTCCTACTCCCCGGGTCAGGTTTGACTGGTTATTCTATGTTCTTTTCCTACTCCCCAGGTCAGGTTTGACTGGTTATTCTATGTTCTTTTCCTACTCCCCGGGTCAGGTTTGACTGGTTATTCTATGTTCTTTTCCTACTCCCCGGATCAGGTTTGACTCGTTATTCTATGTTCTTTTCCTACTCCCCAGGTCAGGTTTGACTGGTTATTCTATGTTCTTTTCCTACTCCCCAGGTCAGGTTTGACTGGTTATTCTATGTTCTTTTCCTACTCCCCAGGTCAGGTTTGACTGGTTATTCTATGTTCTTTTCCTACTCCCCAGGTCAGGTTTGACTGGTTATTCTATGTTCTTTTCCTACTCCCCAGGTCAGGTTTGACTGGTTATTCTATGTTCTTTTCCTACTCCCCAGGTCAGGTTTGACTGGTTATTCTATGTTCTTTTCCTACTCCCCGGATCAGGTTTGACTGGTTATTCTATGTTCTTTTCCTACTCCCCAGGTCAGGTTTGACTGGTTATTCTATGTTCTTTTCCTACTCCCCAGGTCAGGTTTGACTGGTTATTCTATGTTCTTTTCCTACTCCCCAGGTCAGGTTTGACTGGTTATTCTATGTTCTTTTCCTACTCCCCAGGTCAGGTTTGACTGGTTATTCTATGTTCTTTTCCTACTCCCCAGGTCAGGTTTGACTGTTATTCTATGTTCTTTTCCTACTCCCCAGGTCAGGTTTGACTGGTTATTCTATGTTCTTTTCCTACTCCCCAGGTCAGGTTTGACTGGTTATTCTATGTTCTTTTCCTACTCCCCGGATCAGGTTTGACTGGTTATTCTATGTTCTTTTCCTACTCCCCAGGTCAGGTTTGACTGGTTATTCTACGTTCTTTCACTACTAACCAGGTCAGGTTTGACCTGGCCATTCTGTGTTCCTTCCTTCCCCCCAGATTCAGTGTGACCTGGCCATTCTATTTTCCTTCCTTCCCCCCCAGATTCAGTGTGACCTGCCATTCTATGTTCATTCCTTCCCCCTCAGGTTGAGTTTGACCTGGCCATTCTGTGTTCCTTCCTTCCCCTCCAGATTCATTGTGACCTGGCCATTCTATGTTCCTTCCTTCCCCCCCAGATTCAGTGTGACCTGGCCATTCTATGTTCATTTCTTCCCCCCCCCCCCCGATTCAGCATGACCTGGCCATTCTATGTTCCTTCCTTCCCCCCCAGATTCAGTGTGACCTGGCCATTCTATGTTCCTTCCTTCCCCCTCAGGTTGAGTTTGACCTGGCCATTCTGTGTTCCTTCCTTCCCCTCCAGATTCAGTGTGACCTGGCCATTCTATGTTCCTTCCTTCCCCCCAGGTTCAATGTGACCTGCCATTTTATGTTCCTTTTTACCTCCCTAGGTTGAGTCTGATCTGCCTTTCCTGAGTGGAAACACTTCCCTGACCGTGCTCCAGGGTAAGACTGGGGTGTACAACATGTCCCTCACACCATCCAAACGTGGTATCTACAAGGGCATAGTGGCCTTCATCGCTGGCAAAAACCCAGTCATGTGAGTACTAAGTATCTAGTATATACAATATCTTACTTTTCATCTTTTCTATTGTAAAGTGTATCAAAGATAGGAAAAAATACCAATTAAGCTGATTAAATCAGCAAAATAGCTGTTGATATCAGGTGTGAAAACAAGTAGTGTGGTTTCATAATATTATCAAAACAAACTCAAAATGTTGTTTTAAAATGTCATTTTTGAGACAATCATGAAATTACCTAAGCATAGCAAATAAACATTCTGCTATATATTACATTTGCTAAAAGCATCTTAAACATCATTTTCATTACTAATTTCTAATTATTGTATTATTTGCCTTTGCAGTGAGATAGATAGTGACGGAGATGAAATTCCAGAAGATGAGGATGAGGAGAGTAGGAAATACTATGGTTACCGCATCTGGTACTCCCTGGAGGTCCATGTGAAACCCCCACCACCAGAGCGCATCATGTCTGTCGTCTGTGCTTGTCAGGTATATATCTATGAGAAACTTTTTTTCTTATTAACAATGTACGTTATGGTCATGGAGTTATTAGTACAAATGTTTGAGATCTGTAGAATGTGAATGTGTAATGTCTTTACAAAAACAAACAGCCAGAAATTTTCTTTGAAGTTTTTGTACACAGCTTTAAGTCATGGTTTTATACCTGTAGTTTACCAGACCATTTTCTGCCAGTGAAAATAATGTTTCATTTGTTTCTTTTAATCCCTTTGCTGTAAGTTTATAGTTTTCACCAAGCTTTTTTTAAGACATTGGTTCTGTAAATCCTGATGATCACAAAGTTCAGTGTAAGATAAAAATCAACATTGTGTAAATCTATTTTACAGAAAAAAGCTGTGATAGAAGTAATCGTGCGGAACCCCACACCTGACAACATCACCATTCAAGCCCAAATAGAGGGACGCAACCTCTCTGGGCCCTCCAGTATTTCTTTGGACGCTGGAGAAAAGGATGTGTACACTGTAACATATGCTCCAGCTATTGTTGGCAAACAGAGAGGAAGGTAGGTTCTGTAGAATTATGGTCCTGTTCTGTATACACAAATGAAGAATTAGTTCAATATGCATCAGGACTTAATCCTACAAACTTATACATCACAATTGACTGAAGAATTTATGATATACAATCAAATGTTTTGAGAAATAGCTTTTTCAACACGATTTTCTTCACTGATTGCAAAGACTTTTTGTATATCAGACATCTTGTTAAACAGCTGTACCATGATATCACATAAAATACTGCTTGTATCAATTCCAGTCTGATATTTTATCATGAGAGCGTGGGAGAGTTCTGGTACGACCTTCGCCTTCAAGCTGAGCCCCCACCACAGACCACTCTCCCACACATGGAGTGTGATCTTGGACGGTAAGACCCATAATTTAGTTAGATTGTGGAGTGACTTAACATTGTAGGAGTTAAGACTTAGGTGTTACGAGATCCTACAGGGTGTTCACTACAGACGGACAAGTAGCTGTGTGTTTACCATTCAGATATATGTCTTGTATAAATAGTTTATAATATTCTAATGTTATGCTGCAATAGCCATTGTATTTACAAGCAGTAATTTCCATGATAAGCCTATGAAGGGAAATTTTCATTTTATAAACTCTCCATATGCTATTTGTTTTACTGTATTTCTGACTACTTCAATTGTATTATCTATGTCTGCTTCAGTTGGACGAAACAGACTATCATGTTGGAGAACCCAACAGATGAGACCTTGGAGTTGATCCCAACAATGTCCAACACCAATAACTTCTCATTGGAACGTGACAATGAACGCCCACTAGTGCTTCGACCACGATCTTCTATTGAAGTGCCTATCCACTTCATGCCATCCACTCTAGGTCAGGGTGACCACCTGACTAAGGTCATATTCAACAGTGAACAGGTAAGGCAATATGTTTTTCATTACTCCATGCATATAATGATCAACATTTTATGTTGTCACTTCCTTTAAACATGAACTAGGTAATGCATGCTGTTTTTTATGCACATAGCTTGGTGAATGGGTGTTCATTGCCTCTGGGACAGGACTACTGCCTCTTCCCCAGGACCCGGTCAGTGTGTTTACAGAGGCCGGCTCCAACACCACCCTTATCATTCCTTTCCGTAATCCTATGGACCATGCTGTCTTAGTGGATATCTTACTTAGAGGTGGGTACATTATACAGTCAGTGTGAGATCCGTAATATAACATAAGCTTCCCATCAACGAATGACTTTTCCCCTGCTTTACAATTGAAGGGACTGAAATTTCGTCTCGGTGTAATTCGAGTAATCCGAACTAAAATTACAAAGGTATAAAAGGAAAAAAATTGGGACTTGAAAAATATTTCGACTCAAGTGATTTAGAGACAATGAGTTTCAACTGTATGTACAATTTGATGTTTAAATATCTTAATGTGACTACTTCATTGAAACTGTCTTTTCATATTGTCACATTCATTGTAGACACGAATTCAGAGATTGATGGACTGATGAATGGACAAGCAAGTCCATCTAACAAAATGGCTGATGACTCGGCATTCTGCTTGCTGCTCAAACACAGACACATGATCCGAGTCGGACCTAAATCCACATTGGATATCCCAGTGTGCTTTGCTCCAACAGAGATGATGAAGTATGATGCTCTATGTACAGTTGTAGTACGGAAGGAGGATGGCGGAAAATGGCAGTATGCTCCTAGGGATAGTGAAGGGTAGGTCATAAATCAGGTTTGATACATTAAATGGACTTACAGAACTTTTCATAACTGGTAGTTATTCTACTAAGTTACCTCTGTTAGTCAAGGTCTAGAGTAATTTTCATGGATTCTGTTCAAATATGAACTTTTCAAAAAAATATAACTTAAATACTTTTCCCTATGGTAACTTTGGCCCTGTTGATGTGTAAAAATTTGAGAGTTAATCAGTTTGGAAAGAATCTTTTTCTTTATTATTCATCATATGTTCAATGTTTTCATAGTTACCAGTTGGCGACCACTGGTAGCGATGGCCTCCAGGAGATCAGATGGGTCTATCCCATCAGTGGCATTCCTGAATCCAAACCAGCTAAGGACACCCAGGGGGCAGTGATTGAGTGCAAGGCTAGAGACCGTGTGGAGGAAAGGTTAGAGGTCACACTGGCAGGTGTGGCCCCAGCCAGCTCTGGGCCACAACGAAGCATTCTTACCAGATCTGTTACACCAAAAGACCAGAAACCCAAGATACCTGATGGAGTAGTGATCGGAGAAAGTAAGATATTTCTTGTAAATGTTGATGATGCTTCTGATCAGAAATTGTAGAAGGATTTAAACTGATTTAATCAGCAATACCACTGAGTGATCAAATTTTATTCATGGTAAGAAAGTTTGATCTATCTTTTTCAAAATGAAGTTTGTAACCACATTATCCTGATGAAAAATAACTGATGGTAATAGTAAGGAATGGAAAGTCAAGTATATATTTAGGAGACATTTGTACCCAGTAAGAGGAAACATTATTTTCTATCCTCAATAATTTGATAAAATCATAGGTTGGTAATGTTTATAGATTTGACACTAACATAAGCTGGTATTGTTTTTTTGTTTCCAGCATTAGCCACAGCAGAGGAATTTGTTCATGAGCTGGGATTCTCTGATAACGAGGCGCGGGAAAACCTTCAGAATTCTGTGGCAGTGAAGTTGGTTCGTCAACAACGTGATACTAGTTCTGGCTTAGTCATTCTTGTCTACAATGTTGTTTATGCACCTTTCAAACCAATGAGGTGAGCCATACAGCAGTCTAAAATATTTATCGTAATTTTTCAATATTTTTTCCACCTGTATCTACTAGATTCTTCAAAAACAGCCGTACAATGTAAATGTAATCAATTTAACAGTGTTTAGTTCAGGGCCAATGACTTTATGCAGACAGACCATTACATCCAGTCCTGTTCATGAAACATGAAATATGGTCCAGGTCATTCTGCATGGTAAAACAGTTTGAAACATTATAAATATTCTTATTAATACAAAGTCTAATAGAAACCTGGTACACCATGCTAAATACTATATGAAAATTGCTTTAAGCGAACTGCTGGATCTGATATGCATAAATGCAAAAGGTTTGGATCATGAAGTAATTTATGGAGAATAATCAAATTGGAAAGGTATACACAAAATGTCCATGGTTGTCTGTAGGCCTAGAACAGCTGTAGAGTATTCAGTATCTACAATTACTATGGCCTATTTTATAAAAGATACCACACATGAAGCATTTTGCACAAAGCATATCACATTATGCAATTCACACAAAGTATTTACTATAATTCATTTCACAAAAAGCACTAAAAATCAGTAATTAATTATGCAGAATTTCCCAAACAAAATAAACAAATAACAACTCTTCACATTTATATTTATCTATATAGCAATTAAATAACCCAAAACATTAGAGATAATTTCATATGAATTTAGGTCATTATGAAATTTGAAATATCTATAAGCAAATTGAATAGAAAAAATTTCTCATTACGTATTTTGCACTCGACATTTGGCATAAAGCATTAAACATTAAAAATGGCAATAACTCATTACCATTTATATGAAGTCAATATGACAACATAACTACCTTAACATTTAATGACTTCCAAAACACATTTACCACTAGAAATATTTTCTATTAGTCATCTTGAAAGCCAAGATATTTTTATATGAAGATAAAGCACTTCACAAAACATTTCACATTCAGCGTTTGGTATAAAGAATTCTGCTTTCTAGTTATCATGGCTTTCTACCTGATCAAATGAATGTCCAGTTATAATGTATGTCAAAACAACATTGTTGATGCACATTACCAATACATACATGTACCTTTAATGTCTAGAGAGGTTCATGCTTGTAGCTCGCCTTTTATCTGTAAGTGCTGCCATTTAATATGTAGTCTTTCAATGTTACAGCCACAATGTGGAGCTGGTAGTAAAAGCAGCCACAGGAGGCTTGTGGCGGTTCCCTCTAAAGTTTGTAGCAGCAGAGCCTCCATCTGACGACACCATTACCATTGAAGCTACAGGACTGAACCAGGAATCTAGTGTAGGCTTCCGACTCACCAGTCAAGCTAAGTAAGTCTATAACAGGTGTCCTGTCGTCAATTTAAATCCTGAAATGCTAAAGGTGGAATAAATACTGATATAGTTTGTCTAATAGTCTACTAGTGTTATCTTGCACCTCCCCCTAAAACAGGCATTATGTAAAAATTTACTTATCATAGTCTCATATTCAAGACACACAATTAGACATCGCAAGTTAAAGAATATTTTTGTGATCAGATTTCCTGTCAGTATTCTTTTTAATTGCATGTTGCAAGTTCCTTTCAAACCTGTGTTGTCATGTTTTTTCTTATTTCTATCAAATACATGATAATGCACAAAATACTTTGTTGCTATGTTACAAAAATTATATAAAATATTGATGTTTCAATAAAAACAATCCTTAAACTATGTTTAAGTGTTTGACAGAATTCAGATTCAAGAATTTTGTTGTGTTGTGACAAATATCACAATTTTTCTAGATAAGAATAATAATATAATAATAAGATAAAGTGTGTGATAAACACCTACCGCCTTACTGTACATATTTCTTTAAACATTGTAGACACCCAGTGATATATAATGCTTATTTCACTGCGGGAAGTGATCCTGAGTTTGTGGTAAGCCCCCAGTCTGGAGAACTCCTACCACAAGGGACCAATGGAACACTGGTCAAAATCAATTTCAAACCAGCAGTCTATGGTAAACTGTACCAGGCTAAACTCATAATACAGGTTTGTATAGAAAAGATGTTATTGTATTAACTCATACAAGTCATTGCACCTGTCACTCTGTCTTACAGTAGTAGTTGATTGAAAACTATACAAGAATGTTGACCTCGTTTCTTGGTATTTTGAACCTTGTGACTGTGACAAATTCCAAGAATTCGCAAGTCTTGATCTGAAATTTTGTTAGCAAGATAAAAATCATACAAACCCGCATGTGAAGTTTGAATACTATGAAAATTTCAGGATTTGTACATTATTTTCATTTAATCATTTATCAATACTTATGACCAGATATATAGGTAAAGACTGCAAACACAATCAACATATTTCCCGTGAAAATAGCTCCTGATATTGAACAAGGTTGAGTAACCCATTTGTTTGTTTTTAGACACCAGACATGCAGTGGAGCTACAATGTAAAGGGGGTGTTACCCCAGTACAACCCACCTCGAGGAATTTCCACCCAACCCATGGCTGGACCGCATCCTGACCCTAGACTCAGAATGGAACGTGTCAATTACATCCGTGAAAACATTCGTTTGCTAACAACTGCAGTGTCATCGCCAATCAAGGGAGCAAATCTAGTCCCTCGGAAACTTGTCCAGTTTTCATGATGTGAAAAAAACCATCTAGTAATACATATCAGAAGAAAAAATTCCAATGAATACATCAGGACCAATGTTTTAAACTGTGTTGGAAAGTAACTGTGATAGACGTTTGTGATTTCCCCAAGTCATGAAGTGCTGCCGTTCAGTACATCAAAACATATAACTGAATTGTTCAAAAATGTGCTTGTTATAATTACTGATAGAAACTGTGATATTTGTTGAGAATTATTTAGATATTTTCAAAAAAAGAAGACATATACTGTGATTATAAACAGAGTATTTAAGGTATTTACTAAAACAGCTTAAAAAATATGAACACATTTGTGTATTTTAGCTTCATGGAAAGCTTGTAGTTTTATACATCTTTTTTCTTGTCTCCAGTATTTTCAGAAGTGTATATAAATCATGTCAAAGTATTTATAAATTATTGTTGACTATAAGACTAGAAATCTGCATTATTTCCCTTCGTATTGATTGTTGATGTTGAATGGAACTCAGTATTATATATACCACTTTATGCCAATTAATAAGAACAGAATTCATCTGGTTTTCACTTCTATACAGAATATCTACACTTTTTAAAGTCAGTTGAACCATTAGATGAACTCTGCTTACCAACTCAGATGTTTATCAATACAGCACTGTATTTCTGACTTTAAAATGTAATTATTTCATGTACAATCACCTCGATACATCCCATTTGATTTGAAATACAAATAGATATAAAAATGTAGTAAAATCTTGTTTTCAAATCAGAAACATGGATTACAGATAAATATATAAATGCCAAACTATTACAATTACTTTTTCTGTCCTTTAATTACTATTTATAAGATTCAACTTACCAAAAGTTTTATGTCTTTGTGATATTCAGCATTCTTACCTATTTACGATTCTGTCAGTTCTTGTGATATGTACAAAGTGTTTTTACGTACAGCATGCTATACAACTGACAATAGAATCAATGCTCAGTGCATTGTCAGCTCTGTTTAATGGGCTTTAGCATTACCTAATCCATTGTTGTACATTACTGTAGACACTCCTACATGTAGTCTGCTATACTGAATCTAAACACTTAGTTTGAATGCCATTGGTGTACGTGGATCTATTATCGACTAATATTGAAGTTACAATGTTGTACAAAATGTATATTTTCTTTGTGAAATAAACTAAGATTATTTACATGTTTGAGGTGTTGACTTGTTTCTGTGTAATCTGAATTGTCATTTCATATCCATCTTGTGTAGAATTCTGTTGTGTCCAACGTAGACAACTATATTTGATAGTTTCCGTATAAAGTGCAAGCTTATAGGTAATAACTTGTTGATATGTGGTCAGATGTTCTATAATTAACACAACTCAATGATATATATCTTAATTTACATTTATTGAACTGACAGTCTCGGTGTTATAACATCAATGACATGAAAATATAAATATTTCAATACACGATTGTAACATTTCTGCCGAAAACTGGACATTAACCATCCTTTTTAGCACCCTTTACAATTGAACATGAAGCAAAATCCTCTCAACAACTGAAAACTAATTTTCCAGCTCAGACATATATCAACTGAATCTTTTTTACTTGGATTAAGCATTAACCAGCGTGTTGAATGCTGTTCTATATCAAAACCCTTGAACAGATTAAAAAAAATTTTCCTTGATATGAAATATTTAATTAGGTTTTTTTTCTTTCTAAATGTTAAGATTAACCAGCTAAGAACTGTACTGAACTGCATATATAAAAGAACTAATAGTGATAAAAAAACTGTACTTTTATCAGCCAAACTAAACATAACATAGAAGCTAATGGTTTCTACGAGATTGACAAGTGTCTGTACTGCAAATTCCTGTAATGTATCTACAGATACCGATAATGTACAGTATTGAAGTATAACAAAATGCTGTTTTAATCATTCAGTATTTATTAATTTTAACCTGATTCCAGGGTTATGATGACAATAATACAGGATACCAGTCCAGGAAATAAACATGTTCATCGACTGAACTGAAATGATACTTTGGTTTCTTTCCATATCAAAGAATTATCCATCAGGTCACTGAATATTTCAATGGCCTGATCACATTAAGGACATTTCACAGCTACTTTTACATGTAATGTGAAAAAGAAACTAACTGTACTAATTTGCAGACTAGTTAATTTTTAATATTGAAACCAAAGAATAGGTAACCAAAAAATAGGTCCTTGTATCAAAATATTTCCTTCACACTATGAAAGTTGGGTTATCTTTTATTAATACTCAGTGGGAATGTGGACTAGTTTCCTTGCCTGATCTAGAAAAACCTGTCATCACCTATGGTAGTTTTATACTGGAGTGACAAAAACTTGTATAGTTTTTATCTTATGTGTGCAATGACAATCTGATACAAATGGTATGGAATTACAGACTTTACAAAACTTACAACATTACTTAAATCATCCAGACACGAAACTACAACAAGCAACATCCGTCTTAGTGCTGCACAACTTCAGACATGTCTTGTGGTGTCCTTCCTTAGTATGTTCCTTCAACTGCTGACCCACACAACACACAACCATTCTGGTCCAAGGTAATCTACTATTCACCTGGCAGCAGTTTGGGAATTGAAAATTATGACTTGCAATATAATCCTTGTGACTGGTGACATCACATGAGTGTACACAATAAGTTCCAGTAATGTTGTTCACCAAAGTCTGGATTTACAGGATGAAGGTCTGTAATAATTTTAAAAAATTTATATAAATGATTTATTCCATTCTATTCACAATGGTCAAGAATTTAGTCACTGTCCTCAAACTTGATGGAGTGAGTGGATGTGTCAATAGCGCCTCCTCTGTAACTCCCACGCTTTTTCTTGGTCTTTTCATGTCTGAATGATTTGCCTTTTGTAAATTTGAGATCCCTATTAGCCCTTTCTCCCCATGAACCCTGGGAACCAGACTGAAGAAAAGAAAAGAAAATAACATCAAGGAAAGCATTATCAATTTCCACTTTAATGAAATTAAAGATAAGCTGATATATCAGTATACTAGTATGACAAGGATTAAAAATGCAGATCCAGATCTATTATATCAATATTGCCTCATGGAGTCATTGTTAATGGATGTTATGGCACTTTCCAGTAGTTTCAATCTGATATGAACAATTCAATGTTCAAGGTTCAAACTATCACTAGGCAAAAAACCATTGCTTTTTAATAAACAAATCATTTTCTTAACCATCTGTCTATTCAAAGTGTCCAGAGGTTTACTTCTAAATTAGTTATCAGACAGGTCTAAGTGGGGAAATGATTCTAGATTTAGCTTATTTATACAAACCTTGGCTTCAAATGAATTGTCTCCTAATCGTTCATCAACCCTTATATCCTCTGATTTCACACGACGGAATGGAGTGTTTGGGGTTTTCTGAAAAATTCAAAGCAAAATTGCTGCAATGAATAATAAACAAGATATGTTAGAGAAAAAATATACCCCCAAGGGGAAGCCATTCGTTAAGGCTAAGCAAACATGAGGGCTAGGACATTCAACTGAATTTTTGGTTTTTTGATATACATTGAAGGTGTAGGTGAACACTGTGATATCAAGTGAAAGGTCATCAGAAATGCATGTAAATAAGGAAGCATTCTCTAAAAGAATATCACTTACTGATTGGTATGGACACCATGGAGCATACTCTACAAAGTAAGGAAAGTGAAAGGCAAATAAAGCTTATATCTGAGTCCGCCAAACGATGTGAGGGACTTGCTATTTTCCCATTCTTATTATATCTATAAAGAAGGTTTGGTACATATCTGAGAGTAGTAATCAAAATTATCTGACAGAAACAAAGAATTTACGGACAGACAGCCCCCTCAAAATCTTCGATCTCGGGGGGCATATTAAATACATGTATAGGTGAAGCAAACTATGAAGTCTGCCCCTTTGTCAGGACAAGATATGTTCCATCATTTTCATATGATTGTCTGTTTACATCACAATGTTTCACCTTACTGAAATCTGATCAAATAATTGTAATATATTTGAATATTAGACCATAAAGCTCCCTCATCAACAATACTTACTTTACTTTTTGGTGTCTGTTTCTTTGTACCTTGTCCATCTGGGGTTTTGAAATCTTCTCCATTTATTACAGGCGACACCTGTAGAAAAAATTGCTATTTTACACAGGATTTATCAATTAAAATGTAACAGTCTGGGTACTATGTCGTTCTGTTTAACAACAGACAGTTGTATTATCCAGGAAGGATGGGTTGGGGTACTGATTTGTCGGATGTTACACAGGATTTTTCAATTAAAATGTAACTGTCTGTGAGGTATTTTTGTCTTATGAATGCTACAACCTTAAAAATTATTGGCTGCAAACATTGGAAGGTATCTCCATCCAAATAAAAGTTTATGACAGACAGATTGACAATGCAATCATAATACATCCAGCCGAAAAATCTTTTTTCATGGGCATATGAAGATACATCCTTTCTGTTTCAAGAATTTGAATAGAGCAAAAACTTTGAAAATACAATATAATCACATAATCCGCCTGTTACACAGTAAATTTGCCATTTTTTCCATATATGTCATTAGTGTAATATACCAATTACAAATTGATTACGATGTGATTTATAGACAGTGATATATAGTAGGTTATGGATTGAAAACAGCTTAACAAAATAATTGCTCTATTTGATTTTGCCCCTCACATAAATTTAACTTTAAACCATGTCAAGATGTATATTTTCTGAGTCATTTGGTAATTTGTTTTTTCATTTCACAAGATTTTATGAAACTCATCTTGGTGTTTGCTTGCTAAGGTTCACAAAGATAAAATTTTATAAAATCTCATATAAAAGGAAAACTCATTTAAGATCCTATGTATGTGCTATTCTGTAGCAATACTTTGTCAAGAATGTCATCTTATTCACCTTTTTACCATCTCCATTTGAGGAAACCCCAGAATCATGGTCATCTGACTCATCACATCTCCCTTTCACTGTCACAGCTGGGGTTGAGGTAACAGGGTTATCTGTTTCAGATTCAGAGCTGTCTGAATCTGATGAGGAGTCATTCTTAATTTTGGTTATGTTAAGAGATTTTTGAGCGGATTTAGCAGGCCTTACTTTTGCTTTCGATTTCTCATCCTCATCAGAACTCGAGTCACTTGAATCACTACTGCTGCTATCATCCTTTTTCTTAGCAGGTGTTGCTTTTGCTGGTGTTACTGTCTTTTTAGCAGGTACTACTTTTGCTTTCTGTTTCTCATCCTCATCAGAACTCGAGTCACTTGAATCACTACTGCTACTATCATCCTTTTTCTTGGGTGTTGCTTTTGCTGGTGTTACGGCCTTTTTAGCAGGTACTACTTTTGCTTTCGATTTCTCATCCTCATCAGAACTCGAGTCACTTGAATCACTACTGCTACTATCATCCTTTTTCTTGGGTGTTGCTTTTGCTGGTGTTACGGCCTTTTTAGCAGGTACTACTTTTGCTTTCGATTTCTCATCCTCATCAGAACTCGAGTCACTTGAATCACTACTGCTACTATCATCCTTTTTCTTGGTTGTTGCTTTTGCTGGTGTTACGGCCTTTTTAGCAGGTACTACTTTTGCTTTTGATTTCTCATCCTCATCAGAACTCGAGTCACTTGAATCACTGCTGCTACTATCATCCTTTTTCTTAGCAGGTGTTGCTTTTGCTGGTGTTACGGCCTTTTTAGCAGGAGCTACTTTTGCTTTCGATTTCTCATCCTCATCAGAACTCGAGTCACTTGAATCACTACTGCTACTATCATCCTTTTTCTTAGCAGGTGTTGCTTCTGCTGGTGTTACTGTCTTTTTAGCAGGTACTACTTTTGCTTTCGATTTCTCATCCTCATCAGAACTCGAGTCACTTGAATCACTGCTGCTACTTTCATCCTTTTTCTTAGCAGGTGTTGCTTTTGCTGGTGTTACTGCCTTTTTAGCAGGTGCTACTTTTGCTTTCTGTTTCTCATCCTCATCAGAACTCGAGTCACTTGAATCACTACTGCTACTATCATCCTTTTTCTTGGGTGTTGCTTTTGCTGGTGTTACGGCCTTTTTAGCAGGTACTACTTTTGCTTTCGATTTCTCATCCTCATCAGAACTCGAGTCACTTGAATCACTACTGCTACTATCATCCTTTTTCTTGGTTGTTGCTTTTGCTGGTGTTACGGCCTTTTTAGCAGGTACTACTTTTGCTTTCGATTTCTCATCCTCATCAGAACTCGAGTCACTTGAGTCACTACTGCTGCTATCATCCTTTTTCTTAGCAGGTGTTGCTTTTGCTGGTGTTACTGTCTTTTTAGCAGGTACTACTTTTGCTTTCGATTTCTCATCCTCATCAGAACTCGAGTCACTTGAATCACTACTGCTACTATCATCCTTTTTCTTAGCAGGTGTTGCTTTTGCTGGTGTTACTGTCTTTTTAGCAGGCGTTACTTTTGCTTTCTGTTTCTCATCCTCATCAGAACTCGAGTCACTTGAATCACTGCTGCTACTATCATCCTTTTTCTTAGCAGGTGTTGCTTTTGCTGGTGTTACTGTCTTTTTAGCAGGTACTACTTTTGCTTTCGATTTCTCATCCTCATCAGAACTCGAGTCACTTGAATCACTGCTGCTACTATCATCCTTTTTCTTAGCAGGTGTTGCTTTTGCTGGTGTTACTGTCTTTTTAGCAGGTACTACTTTTGCTTTCTGTTTCTCATCCTCATCAGAACTCGAGTCACTTGAATCACTACTGCTACTATCATCCTTTTTCTTGGGTGTTGCTTTTGCTGGTGTTACGGCCTTTTTAGCAGGTACTACTTTTGCTTTCGATTTCTCATCCTCATCAGAACTCGAGTCACTTGAATCACTACTGCTACTATCATCCTTTTTCTTAGCAGGTGTTGCTTTTGCTGGTGTTACTGTCTTTTTAGCAGGTACTACTTTTGCTTTCGATTTCTCATCCTCATCAGAACTCGAGTCACTTGAATCACTACTGCTACTATCATCCTTTTTCTTAGCAGGTGTTGCTTTTGCTGGTGTTACTGTTCCTTGTTTCTTTGTAGGAGCTGCTTTCACTTTTTCATCCTCTGAGCTGGAATTACTGGAGTCGCTACTGCTGCTATCAGCCTTTTTTGTAGGAACTTTCTTTGAAACTGGTATTACTGGTTTTGAAGCAGGCTTGGCATTTTTCTTTGAACCACTATCCATGTCTGAAGAGTCACTACTGGAATCACTACTGTCACTGTTTTCAGGTTTCTTTGCTGGTGTAACCTTGGTGACAGGCTTTGTTTTAACAGATGGTTTATCATCCTCATCAGAACTTGAATCACTGGAGTCATCACTACCGCTTTCCAACTTCTTTTTCTGTACTGTTTTTGCTCCAGTTAATTTGGTCTTTTTAACTTTCTTGCTGTCTTCCTCTGATGAGCTAGACTCTGAATCACTGTCACTGCTATCATTTTTCTTAGTTACACTTTTTCCCTTACTGGACACTGGAGTAATAGCAGTCTTTGTTACTGCTTTGGTGGTCTCTTCATCTGAGCTGGAATCTGAGCTAGAACTTGAAGATTCCTTCTTGGCCTTTTTACTTGGAGTAGGTTTAATTGCGGATTTGGCGTTTACAGTAGTTTTCCTCTTTTTGTCATCATCAGAGCTATCTGAAGTGGAGCTATCAGAACTACTGCTGTCCTTTGCTGGGCGTTTCTTCAAAACTCCCTTTGCATCACCACTGGCTGTTGGAGTGGTCAGGCTCTGTGGTGGTGGAACATTACCATACCTGGCTTTAGGCTTGGTTGGCTTTGCATCATCATCCATGTCAGAATCACTACAAAATACATCATTACTTTTTTTAGAAAAAAAGTTTTAAAAATTATATATGCGTTCTATTTAACCATGCACAAGTTCCTCTCCTAGATAATAATTTCTTTCTGTCTTTTATTTTCAGACCTAAACCAGCAGAAATGCTTCAGTTGTTATGTGTTGTTTACCCTTTCTTTTCTGACTCAAAATTTTGAACTGGAAATTTTTTTTGTTATTTTTTTAAAGAATAAATTTACATGTGTAATGGGAAAGAGTTGGTTTTGGCACACATCTGTCAGGGACCCCACCAGTGAATGGCCATTCTGAATGTGACATGGGAACGCATTTTAGTTAGGACCATGTATAGAACATACACAACTCAGAAGTGAATGTCTTTGTATCACTTTCTGTTCAAGAGGAAAAGGCTGACATTTTCTTCTTCTTTAGGCTGGCATGGTGACTATCTAGTATGTAACATGGGTCTTAATTTCAGTTAGGATCATCTGTAGACAATTTTCCATTCAGGAGAAGTAGTCAATGGATTTTTTAAGATAGCTATCATGGCAGCAATCTTTAACAGTCCAGTAAAGGTCTGAATTACAGTTTAGTATGCAAATGTATGACATAAAATTTTCATTTTCTGGTGTTCCACCACAGACCAATGCAGCAAAAACAAGTTAGGATATCCTCAATGCTTAATCCTACCTTGAATCATCACTGCTGGAATCTGCGGTCTTCAATTTTTTTGCAACCCCTCCCTCTGAAGTGGATTGCTTTCTCTTTCCTCCTGCAGTTCTACAATGACAAAAATTGAAGATGAAAATTGTATTTCTGATTGAATTACAGAAGAAGAATACTGTATATACAAACTCATTCAAAACAGAAAATGAAGACTTGCTTGTACTCTTGTCTATAAGGAAATACTCTGACTTTGTTTATAGTGGAAGTGTTAGTGACATGGCTTTATAATGCTTGTCCAACTTTTTACAAGTTATAATTAGTGTGTTTATTCTGTACATGTAGTAATACTAGCCATAAAAGTGTATTCATTATCTGATATCAATTTGTACATAATTCATAGTAAATTATCATATTCATTCAACAGTTAAAAAACAAGAATTTATAAACACATGTATATGCTCACCTTATTATTGCTAGAAATCTGAGTTTTCAGATCAAAACTCATTTATTAACGACACAATGTCAAATAAAATGGTCAAAAGTCAATATAATTGAAAAAATGACAAGGAACACTAAAAATAGTGTGATTTACTGTAAGTGAACCAAGGTGTTATTACATCTAGCTTACACTACTTATGAAAGATTTAAGAAAAACATTGTGAACTGGTATCATTGTAAATATATACAGTAGGTTGAAATTTCAACAATGGATTATGAAAACTTACTGATGCCAATGACTGTACAGTTCATGCAGTTTTGGAGAACCACTTTCAGGAGGATTCTGAAAAAAAGAAGAAGAGATATTTCAACTTAATAAATAATAAAAATAATTTCTTTCTACAATTATCGTTTGAATGCTGATCCAGACACAGGTTGTTTTGCTCAATTTTGATATGGTCAGATTTCTGATTATCATCTACTCCAAACTGATAACAAAAAAATGTTGATTGAAAGTCAGAATGTCTCATATTGTTTTCTAATGTGAACTAATTTTCTTTGAATAAGAAAAAACTTCAGTTGCCCCTTTTCATTTAACACATTCAGTTTAGTGTTACCAACATCGTCCAAAATATTCTGACATTCCATCAACTTATTATATTGGTCTAGATTTGACATTCAAAGGATAGTTGTAGAAAGAAATTGCTTTTGATAAAAAAAAAATGTTCAATAGACTGTCAGAATTATTCAGACCATGACTGTTTGGTTATCGTGAAGATGCTTGTGAACATGCTTTCACTTGTCCTTTCACATTGATTGGTGTATAATGGAATCCCAAGGGTTGGGAATTTAGAGTCACCAGTAATTACTTAAGAAATCTTTAGAAAAATGGGAGAGGGGGTAGTGTAAAAGGTATGGGTTGTCGTGGTTTTGTAAGTGCTGGTGTTTGCCAATCAGCAGTGTTTTCTCGTTCTTTCACACCTTACAACATACATGATCACCTGCCAGACCACCAACAGGAATCAGACATTTTATATGTGAAATATTGCTATTATATACATATAATGACAAATTCCTGCTTTTAAGTATGATATTTAGCAATATTTCATGTATAAATATATACGTTCTGTGGATCCCCACACCTACAACTAGCGATAAATGATGATGAAACCATGATTTAAAAAGTATATATATTAAAACACAATGTCTTTAAATACAAACAATGAAAATACTAAAAATCGGTGTTTTGTGAAAGTAAAGCCACGTGCTCGTCTGTTTAATGCACACAGCACTCTTATTCAACAAGGTAGTGTGTACGTGGACCGTGAATATAATAATTTAATGAAAACTCACAACTTTTAGTTTCTTCTTCAAGTTGTCAGCCACTTCTTTGCATGTTGTCTTGAGATAATCATATACCATCGGCAATAATGCCGCAGACCCAGGTTCACCACCAGAAGCCATTGCACACGCGAAAAAAAGGAAAGGAAATGACGTCGAACCCAAAGTCTGCATCTTTGTGACGCTTTGCTGTGCGAGGCCCTCGACGGGTTATCCACGCTTTCGTAAGCAGCTGCTTGTTAGACTGCTCTGTGATGTTTCTCATCATGATACTTTTATAATTGCACCAGCGCGTTTTATGACAAATTTTGGGAGCTGGAAGAAAAGCAGACACGTTTTCTTGGAGGGATGAATTATGACGATATCCAAAGGATACATCCATTATTTAAAAAAGAAAAATCACTTGTTACTTCCATCGCTCAAAGCGATTTGCATGATTAATAAAAAAAAAACCAAAAAAAAGAAAAAACAAGAGGCACAGAGGGCCTGTATCGCTCACCTGGATCTTTATGATCAACAGTACTATATCTGTGCATATGTTCCACGTTTAACACATTTGACCCCCGTGAGCTTGACTATGGGTCAAGGTCATTTCTAATTGCAAACTTTCTTGGACTTCATAAAAGGAACATACTGGGCAAATAAAATTATTCTAGGTTTTTCGATATTTCGGAAGAAATTGTTTAAACGTTTTAACACATTTGACCCCTGTGACCTTGAAGATTGGTCAAGGTCATTTCTTTTAGAAAACTTTGTTTGGCTTCATCAAAGGAACCTTCCAGCCAAATATGATAACTCTACGCCTTTCGGTATTTCAGGAGAAGTTGTTTAAATGAAAAGTTGACGGACGCAGGACGGACGGCTCGGCGGACGGACGGACGACGAACGCCGCGCTATAGCATAACTGCTCTTGGCCCTTTGGGCCAGGTGAGCTAAAAAAAAACCCTCATTGTTGTTAGAACTTCACAAATGATACTGTAACAACCCACCAACAAACACATGTCGGAAGAGGTTGTACCTTTATTATCTCCACACCAAAGAGTTACATGAGGTTGCAACACTCATATTGTCTGTATGGAAACAGCCTACTGTTTTGCCATGCGATAGATATTGCAGATGCTGCCAGTACTTGTGAAATAAATTACTCTAAAAAGGACTACATGTATTTATGTACTGATAGCACCATAAAATTCAAACTAAGAAATTCAGTCCTCCTAAATCACAAACTGGTATTTGCTGATAAAAATTTCGGTCTCTCATTGAATCACACAATTTTATGCAGGATAGGGAAATTGAAGGAGTTTCCATATTTGTATAGATTTATGTTTATTTCAGTCTATTTGATTATCATAGCCTTTGATATTGTAGATAATTTCCAAACGTATAAAATTAATAGAATAACGTATCACCCATCAAAATTTTGACTATTTCTTTTGATTAGTCTTCACTGACTGGCCTTTAGCACCATTGCTGATTCCTACAAGGACTTTGTGATGCAGTGTAACTCATTACTTTGTTTTATTGTATCTAATTCTATTTATATTGAAAGGTCCACTTCATTTGTTTGTCATATGTATAATCTTTATTTCCGCATTGGTAGTTGATGGGACATTTTGTAAGTCAGGGTTTTTTTTAACCAGTCTATAGGTCGTAAGCAGTCCTTTCTGTAGAACTGGTCACAAAGGCAGTTTTTTACTCTTTATTTATGACCATGATAACCAACACTAAAATATCACTCGTTTCAATTCAATACCTCGAGAATTCCTTTCTTAACACCTTGTGTAGAATTAGATGTTTATTTGATACTGTCACGGTGATAAAGGACTCGCGATACCTCAGACGGTATCCAAAGATCCATGACAGTCCAAATCATAAGAATCCCCACATTGTCCACTTCAACATGGTAATACCACGAGGACTTTGAATTAACTAATACAAGGTGGGCCTAAAACACGTCGATGGGAGTTGTCTTTCTTCGTTCACGAAAAAGTATAGATTGTAGCATAGTCCATAGCAAGGAGTGTAACGCCATCAAAAACTTCTAAGTGTATATTGTGTTTTACACATAAGATTTTTGGACAGAGGGTATTTTGCGATAGGCATAGACGTTGTTCGTTATTATTGTTGTTCAGGATTGAACTGTTTCTTTCTATCATCTATAGGCCTCCATATTCTTTGACGATTTTGGATAATAAACACTTTCTTGTCTCAATATAGGTACAAGCTATATAACTATAGAGGAACATACGAAACATAGGAAACGGATGGGCGATACGATTTCCGGCAAAAATGCGGAATGTGACGTCACAATAGGATGACATATGACGTCATTGTCGTATTGTTGTTAGACATGGCAACCTGATTCCGCAGCCGGACGGTCACAGGAAGGTAGGAGCGAGGGACTGGTGTAGGACAGCTGTAACATGGTCAACATTAGACTGGTGGTACCAGATAAGCGTGTTATGTTTCTCAGTATGAACTAGAACTAGGTCTATGACTATACAGCAAAACACTAGAGGCAAATGAACATCGACTTAGATCACTGGGCAGAGAGTGAGTAAATATAAACGAGACAACAGACGACGAGCAGAGAATACGACAGGAAATTGGGAGATTCCCCCACTAAATATTCTCTTGATACGTTGGAATACGTTATATTTATTTTAGTCGATGTCTGTTATACGGGAGGATCTCTATAATTTCACAGGGTCCTGACAGTTGTTAGTACAATTATCAGACTAGTGAGGGCAGATGTAGCCAAGTGTCATCTAGAAGTAAAACGAACAGATTAAACCGTACTTTCAATTTACCCCGTATTTAAGAAGAATTCACGAAGTTAATATAACTATAAAACCCTATTGGTTTTGTTTTATATCAATATTATCAACACGGTCGGTATCTAAGATGGTAGCAAGTCTCTAAAACCGATAGCTGTCCTAGCTCCATCGCTCTTTGCTTGAGACTGTTATACTAATCTACCAATCTTCACCTGGCACACACAGAGACGATGGACAGCTCAGGTAAGTTCATATCACTGTTTTGATCATTTGAATACTGTGGGGTTTAATTTTACAATCGGTGAAAAATTTTCTTACGAAAGAAATATAGTAGCATACTTCAATATGAGTCACAAAAAAGTCTATATTTCCCATGTTACATATAGGTAATTAACACCACGTGTGTACGTTCCTGCTTAATGACGTCTGGAGGAGGGATGAATTCCCAATTACACAGTAACAGCGAGTGATGCAAACATTTGAGAAAAAATATCAGTTTTTACACATTTAATTCCAAATATTTCATTAACAAGATTTTCCCCCCAGATACTGCACCCATCTGAGGGTATTGGTGATGTCGAGTAGAACAATCCTGAATAATTGCAGCAAATTCTACAGATCTGTGTCAAATTGACCCAAATCGCTACAATATGCGGCAGATTATCGAAATTTTTTATTTGATTTGATGATTCAAGTGGGTTTCTGGTTTACAAATTAATGCATTAACAGAGAGATTGATTTAGGTGCAAACCGATAAGCTTTGATATGGAGTTGTCTATCTTTGTTCGATTCAGTAACGATATATGTTAGTTAACTGGAAACGTAAAACCAGTATTTGAGTTTCATAACGGTTAGTCAAATATGAGCAATTTGTATTTGAACCCGCGTGATTATTTTTTTCATAAATAACGTCTTTATATTTTATCGAGATACATTTCTCTAGCATTATCATAAAAAAGTCATTTATAGTAAAATGCATTTCGTTTAAGTTACATTACGAATTTTACAGATTCCTACATTTCTTGGTATGCTATTTATTCCATCAAGGCTAGATACAAGTCATCTTCACAGAGTCTATACTTAGTAAGTAATGTATTAATATGGTACCAGTTGAAATATCTGCTTCAATTTTTCATGCTTAAACAGTTTATCTTCAATAAGAGATCGAACTTTATCAGCAAAGAACTGTTTGTGTTTAAGGATCTTAAGCAGAACGGAATCCACAACATTTAAAAAAAAATTATTATGTTATAATACATGTAAGCAGACTTAAAGTACAGTATCTTTATTTTAATGTATAAACATCTGTCTTGACAGAATGAAACTGTGTTTTATTTCTCATTCAATATAGACACAGAGGATAGAAATATATTCAGATTCTCTCCGTGCTGAAGGCATATGTCAAAATGTCTTCAAATATCTGAGAATCCAGACCAATGTGATGTTAAGTTCTTCGGTGGTAGCCGAGTGACACTGGTACGCTAACGATACCTCTACCTTAGAGTGTAGTATTTTTTGCAAAAAGACATGATATGTAGTAGTTATTCCTCATTGTCCCGAAATATTAACCCAATGTTATGTTTTATAAAGCATATCTTGTACGTTTTAATGGCCAATGTAGACTGCACTGCGTGAACGATCCAGACTACTGTGGCAGGATCTATAATTATAATATTTGTATTGAATTGTCTCAGTATTGTATTAGTCTTATTTATTAGTTTCGTTTATACTGTATGCGTCTAAGTGTTTAGTCTAGTTTTCGTCTGCTTATATAGTATCGTTTGGTCATTGGTCAGTTTTGTCTTTGTCTTACGTCGCAATCTTGTGTCTTATTTTATTGGCTCTTGTCCATTTCGCGCTTTTTGTTTGTTCCGGTCATTGTCTGAATGGACAGTGAGGTGACCAGAGAAATTGTAAAGTCGTGCGGGTGAATATCTGCAAACCTCATGTATAACTGTAAGATTTGCTATTTTATTATCCTGCAAACTCCACTGATTGCATTTGTATCGATTACTTAAGTATATTTGGTATCAGAAGTCAGATTTAAATTACTTTCATTATCAATATTTTTCTGTAATACTAGTTTGTACTTGTGCTGATAATCTCAAGTAATGATATTATTTGAATATCTGTATTTCTAATTTCCTATCTAGGTATATCATTATCACATAATGTTACTACCGATTTAGTTCCGTAATTTAGATCTGTACATTTGTAACTTTACAGACCCGCTCACCTGTACGATGCCGGTCATATTTACAACAGACAAGATTTCCCCTATAACTCTGTGCCATACACAGGTAATTCAGCTTATGATAATTGTATTTTTAGTATGTATACAGATAAT